GCCTGGGTTGGCTTTGAACCGTGATCCTCCTGACCTCTGCCTCCCGAGTAGCTAGGATTACAGGTGTGAGCCACTGATGCCCAGCCTAGAAAGACTTTCTTATTTATGAGAATGTATTCTGTCTTCCGTTCCCTTGCCTATCCTTGGCCGCTGATCTAGTAGAGACCTAGTGTCATTTTATAGGGCGAGAAACTTTGCATTTCCTGATAAATTATGCTAGAGTTCAAGGGTCTATACCCTCCAGAGTAGTAACTCTCCTATACTTAGATATGGGCAAGAAAGCCTACTGCTCTGGGTTACTCTACAACAGCCCTTCACTGTCACCAGGGGCCTCCTCTGGCCATGCCAATTCCATAAAATGGTTACTCAGAGGGACCCAAGGAGCCCAGATGCCCTCCTAGACGAGTGCTACTCAAAGTGAGGTCCTTGAACTACTGCCAGGCAGAAAATGCGTGGCAGTTGCCCCCAATGAGCTAAGCACAGAAACTGAATGAAAGCACTTAGAAAGTTGGATCAAAATTTCATGTTTGTGCTGTTTTGTTGTTGTTGTTTTTGAAATGGGATCTCACTATAGTGCCCAGGCTGGTCTTGAACCCCTGGGCTCAAGCAATTGTGCTGTCTCAGCCTCCTGGTACTACAGCTACATGCCACCGTGCCTGGCAAAATCTTATTTTGAACTCTGGACCTCCTGTCAACAGGGCCAGTGCTCTAGGACTTGAGCCACCCCGCCAGCCTGATTTGGAAAAAAAAAAACCTAAAATTATATCCTGGGGTGGTGGTTCTCATCTGTAGTCCCAGCTACTCTGAGGCTGAGGCAGGACAACCACTTGCACTAAGAGTTTAATACATCTGAAAAACGAATTTTTTTTGCTTTGCTAGCCATTAAGCTTCTGATCATTTCCTAAGAATTCCTTTTCATTCAATGTATTTCACAAAAGTTTCCGCCCATCACAGACTGGAAACTTTTTTCCCTTTATTTTGTCTATTTATTTATTTATTCACTTATGGCCAGGGGAGGAGTTGGGAATCAAAGCCAGGGCCCGGCACATGCCGTAAGCACCTGAACTACAATTGGACTACAATCCCTGGCCCAGACTGGAAACTTTAGAAGATAGTCATTCACCTGAAGCACTGTTCCAGACTCTGACATTTTCTGCCCAGATAGCCAGAGCCCACTTCCAGAGTCTATGCAGGCCTCTGCTGGAAATATTCTCCCTCCAGATAATCTGGAGGTGTGTGTCAGTGTGCACGCCTGGCCCCAGTAGGTGACCAGGAACAGCTGTTTGCAGGGATGTAGATGGAGCTTGGACTTGGGAGTTGGGGCATCCACGGTGTGCATCATCGCCCCTCACGGTGCAGGATGGAGAGGAGGGAGAGGGCATAGGCTAGGTGGGGCTGGGGGTGGGTGAGTGGGCAGGCTGGGGGCTGAGCAGCCAAAGCTGGCCTTCCTTCCAAGTTGTTATGAAGACCAAGCCGTTGAGAGCAGGACAGTGGGACATGCCCCACCTTAGGTACCTGCTTCCACAATCCCTCCACGCCTAGACGTGGGGCGTGTGGGTCTGTTTCGCTACTTGCCCGAGACCCGGGAACATTCTGGGCAGTCCTGCCCTGGGAGGCATCCCTGGGAGGACAGCTGAGGGGCCAATTAAACTGTGGCCCTTTGTAAAACCACGAGAGCATTTCAAAGGTGAGTCTGAGTCAAAGCAATTAATGGCCACTGCCCAGAGTGGCGTAGACAGGGTAATTTGTCTGTTCCGTTCCGGTAGTTCCAAAGAAAGGGTCAAAAGCCATCTCTTCCTCCCCTGCTCTGTGAGGGTGGCCTCAGAGGACAGGCCTCATCTGGAGTGCCCCCTAGCAACCCCCTGGGCCCAACCTCCTGTGATTTTCCTCCAGCCCTTTGCACCACCATGCATCCACCCCCCCCCCCACCCCCCCCCCCCCCACCCCCCGCACCCTGCAAACATAGTGCTCTAGCGCTGAGAGTCCTTGCCCACACTGGGAGTGGGTGCCCAAGCCCCAGCTCCAGTCCCAGCCCGGGCATCACAGATCTGTGAGCAGGACGGTGTGGCTCACACAGAGAGTGGGATATCATCCCACCTCACCTCCCACAGACTCTTAAATAAACTTTAGTTTCTCTCTTCTTGTCCCTGCTGGCCCCTGGAAGACAAGAGAAAGGGCCCTTTCCCAAGATGCCCCAGGCTTCCCACTATGGCAGGCTGGAAGATTGCAAAATCTCCAGCCCAGGCAAACCTCAGGGTAGACTCCCTTGTTCTCTGTTCAAAACTTTTTGTTGTTATTTGTGGTGCTGGGAATTAAGCCCAGGACCTTGCCTCAAACCAGGCCAGTGAGCACTCTACCACAAGCCCCGAGAAAGGTTTCTAAAGAGGAGACACCCCACCATGTCTTTGGTTGTTATTTTGGGGTGCTGGGAGTCAAACCCAGGGCCTCACATACTCTAGGGAAGTGCTAGACACCCCACGCTGTTTGTTTTATTTTGTTTTTGTGTCTATTTTCTGATACTCTAAGAAAGAAAGGCTACCCTGTCCCCAGCTGGGTGTAGTAGGGCAAGGCAGCTCCTGGCAACTCACTGAGAACTGGAAATTTTCCAAGAGGTGGTGGGAGGTTCAACATAGGACAGTGTGTCTCACTGGGATCAGGGTACAGTCCTACAAGATAGTATACTGAAGGCCCAGAGATGAAATTACTGAAGCCTTAAGGACCACCTTTTCTCCTGCTGGACATAGCCAGAGCTACCCCTACCTCAATTTTAGGATTAACTCCACAAACCCAAGCTCTTCCCATACAATGGTAACACTTTGGGTGCAGTCTTCCTCCACTTTGTTCTCAGAACAGAGATAAGGTGGAGAATTCAGCTCCTCCCTTCAGCCCAGAGCTCCATGGTTAGTGCAGGAAATCTCAATGGCCGACTGCTTTCCGAGTGGAGACAACAGTCTGCAGTCCATAACTTTATCAGCAGCTACTTCCCTTGCACCCCAGGGGGTGGCGACAGAGGATCACTGCAGCTGCCTGTCTGTCTAACCTGAGTGCTCAATTTCTCTTGTAAGACAGGAGGGTGGTATATCAAGTTTTTCACTTTCGTGTGGTGTGTGTGTGTGTGTGTGTGTGTGTGTGGTGATGGTGCTCAAACCCAGGACCTTGTACATTTGAGGCAAGTATGCCACCACTGAGACACACACATACACACATACACAGAGCCATGTATCATCTTTCTGGCTGAAGGATTTTTTTTAAGTCTCAACTTAAATGATGCTCCATCTTTGGGGGGCAGAAATATGACTGTTGTGTCCTGTCTGGGTCACGATCACTGTGAAATAGGAATGTAGAACATTGCAGTTTAATCATTTCTGGAAAGTCAGAGACAGGACCATCTGCTGAGGGTAGGGTAGGAGGAATTGGGAAAGAGTTGAAGAGAGAGGAGAAAGAAGTAACTAGAAGCTGGTGGCACAGCTCAAGTAAGTGGTAGGGTACCTGCTTAGCAAGTGGGAAGCCATGAGTTCAAACCCCAGTACCATCAAAAAGAAAAAAGAAAGTAACTAGAGCTACACAGCATTACCTCACTGAAAATTCACAATCAGGCCTTCGCTCATTCATTCACTCAAGGGTAATGCCCTGAGAAACAAGGGACAGCTGGGACATCAAACTTGGTATTCACAGCCAGGAAAGTCCAAGGAACCAGAAGACACTAAAACCCAAATTGTCCAAGTTCACACCGAGCTCATTCAGGGAGGGAATTAGGGGATCAAAGGATGCTCGCAGAAGGGAAGGGAGAAGGTAGTCTGAGTGGAAGGAGACTCATAGGAGGGGTGGTGTTTATGCAAGGAGGAAGTGGCAATGACAGTGAACAGGGCTGGCCATGCCTCTTAGCAGAATCAGCCAGCTGAGGAGGAGGCACGGGCGAGAACGTTCTCTCCATGGCTGACAAGTCCTGGTCTGTCCTCAAAAACCTCACTGTAGGTCAGCAGTGGGAGGCAGCGTGGGGACAGGAAGCACAGGCAGGGCTGAGGGCCTGTCTTGGGAAGAGGGGACATCCGCTTTTGGGTCAGGGTGAAAGCTAGCAGGGACAAAGCTAAAGGCCTATCCAATCTCAAGGGATTAAGCCCTGCTTCTGTGTCTCAGGAGGCAGGACAGAGGCCAGAGGCCACTTGCTGCCTGAGGCTCAGAGTTCCAGGCAGACCCAGAGAAGGACTGGTGTGTCTGGCCAGGCTCTCCCACTATGGTATGAGGCCTGTGAGCCTGCAGCTGTGAGGAGGCTACAGCACTCTCCTGTCCTATTTCTTCTGGTGGGACCATCTCATCAGATCTTCCTGCCTTCCCTCTGAGCTTAGCACCTGCTTGGAGCTCTACTTCTGAGAAGAAAGAAGAGAAGGATTGCCCCATGACAGAACAGACTGATGAGGACAGAAGGGAAACCAGTCTAGGGACTGAATCAGATTGTTATCCAACAGCAGCAGAGTGCTTCTTCTCCCTTCCTCCACCACTCCCCAGCCCCAGCTGCCCCAGGACCCAGGCTTCTCTCATGCCTTTCCCCAGAAGAAAGTGCACCTTATCCAGCAACATGTCCTGCAGAGACATGGTCTGTAATATCTGGGCTTTTGATACTCACTTGGAAAGTCAGGAGGCTGTGAAGCTACAAAGCTGATGTCATCAGAAAAGACATGGGGGAGAAAGGTGTTAAAGAGAAAACACCTTAAAACATTTACCTGGTACTTTTCTTCCACCCCTCTGGCATGTGTTAGGAATAAGCTGTCCTGTGTTTGGAACAGCAGTGGGTTCAAGGTCCTAAGCACCAGCCACAGGCTTGAACACAAAGTCCCCGAGCCCTGCCTCAGCGCCACCCACATGCAAATGGAGGAGGCACTCCTCTACTCACTCATTCCATTTACCAGTTTCTGTCTACTTTTACCATCAGTCTTGGTTAAACACCAGAAAAGAGACAAATTACACACTTCTCAGAAATTGCAATTTTATAAAAAGGCATTTTTTCTTTTATATCCATAAAATGATATAATTTTGCAAGTATAGAAATGTGTCATAAATTATACAGAATGTTCCTTAATTACAGCTCAATGCAACTTGGTACTTTCCTCCCTCCCTAAAAAATGAGAGAGAACCAAAAAAATAATATATATATAACTATATATATAACTGTATATATATATTTATATAATATAGACAAACCAAATATGAAAAAAATCATTTCCTCTTTGGTATAAAAATCAGACTCTCACCTTGAGAGACACACAGACAGACATGATTTTGGGTTTGTAAACTGTGTAGCCAAAAGGGATTTCCCTGTCAAGATTTTCCCATCCCCCACTCCCCACCCACTCTAGCCCCCCCTGACTGCAGCTCACCTCCAGCTACTTTGGGGCTCCCATACCATTCCAGAAGTACCCTCCCCTACTCCTTAACTACCAAAGAAGAGGAAAGTCTTCTTTTCTAGGCCAGTTAGGCAGCAACCAATTTGAGAAGTGCCTGACTCAGGGAACAGCTCCGTAGGTGTGGAAGATGGGGAGAAAGGACAGGTGGACAGGTGGTGAGCAGCCTCCAGTTTCAGACAAAGCCAGGCACCACGCAGGCAGTCTCCTGGCCCAAGCCTGGCTCTGCCCTCCTTCTGCCTCCTCTTCCCCAGGCTGGGCCTGGAGGGTGGAGCAGAAGGAAGCACAGGCCAGCTTCCCCTTTCAATCCCACCCCAGGGTGCTCAGCTTCCCCTTTCAACTCTACCTCAGGGTCCTGGGGTGGGGTAGGTGCAAGATAGTACCAGATGAAGAAGGAGGAGGGAAGTTAGAAGGAAGTCTGCTAATGAACTTGAAACTAAAATGAAAGAAAAGACTTTTCCTCAGGATTAAATTTCACAGGCAGCTTTTCAACTCACTGAGTATGATGGGGTCCCTTTTCCAGGTTCCAGCCCAATACCAGCAGGACTTATGGAATCCAGGAATTGATATGTGTGCCTTAGGGGAGGAGACAGCACTTTACTCTCAAGGTGAGGAAGGAGACAGGACCTTTTTACTCTCCCAACACCCTTAGGCTAACAGTTCCTCCCTCTCTGGCCAGCCCCTCTGTCCCATGGGCACTAGCGGCTTGTGACCCATGTGATAAGGCTCCTCCCAAGACACTCCAGCAGGTAGGGCCAGTCCCAGTGTGTGCCAGTCTCCTCTTCCTAGGAGAGTTAAGACACTAGCCACAACATAAAAGTCACATAAAGGCCTCCTCCACTTGCCAAATAAAAAAGACAAAACCAAATTGGACACAAACACAAATCAAGGAGACATACAGGATGTGAGGGGCCCAGAGGCCCCAGCAGATCTCTGGCTTCCCGGCATGATACATTCTTGTGTAATTCAGGAACAGGGGCACTAGGGCCCCTCTGGGGAACAGGAGTAAAAAATATGGAGATTATAGTCTCCCTGTGGACTCCCAGGCAGCGCAGAGGCAGACCCAATCTCTCAGTTTCTTCTTGGTTTGGTTCCACATCTGGTCCCCCACTGGGGCTGCCTCCATATACTCGAGCCCACACTTTTCCTTTTGGACCCACTCCCTCCTCCTCCCCGAGCTGGTAGGACCAGCAGGATAGAGTCTACCAGGGAAGACAGGAGGCAAGGAATGAGGACCAGCAGTTCTGAGATGCTGTTTCCTTGGTGACCTGCCGGGCCCTGCATGCTCCAGCCACAGGCACAGGGTGTCCCAGTCCATGTCTTTACCCTTTCAGGGGCTTATCAGCCCCCCCACTGGGGCTGCTGGCACTGTCACTTTTCTTCCTCCGTAGGCTTTCTATCCAGCTTGAACTGGAGCGGGTGGTGAAGCTGGACAGCGCCAGGGAGCTGAGCCGCATGTTCTTGCCGGACATGATAAGCTCCCCGAAGCCCTCCTGGTGGGAGAAGGCATAGCCGGAACGCCGGGACCCTGTCCGGCCCACCCGCCGCATGCAGCGGTGCTGTGCTTTTTGCTTCTTCCTCACCAGCTGGGTGTAGCGGACCTGGGGGTGGAGGGGTGCAGAGAACACAAGGAAGGCACCTCTGTCAGCGTGGCCCTGTCAGACGTTACCACAGAGAAGGCCCGAGAGCACAGAGTCACCCAGCATGTGTCCTTAGGAGGAGCAGATGACCACCTACACCCTGAGCAGCCACGCACCCCAGAAACAGCTGCACAAGCCACAGACGCTTTGCATGCCACACCAGCTCCATCCCCCCCGAGTGAATGCTTCAGCTTCTCACCGTGTCGGAGAGGTCGGGCTTCAGGTTGAGCCTGAGGAAGCGAAAGGCAACCACAGGCATGATGCAGACGACTGTAGTGAGTACTATGGTGAGCCACACTGCGGGTTGGGCCAGGGTGTTCTGGGCATTCCCTGGGGGTTGACAGGAGTTGGTGGCCCAGGAGTCACAAACAGAACAGGAGGGCAGCCCCCTGAATTCCCCATTTCTATTTCTGGTAATACCACCTCCCTACCCTCAAAACTTAAGGCATCCCTGGCTTCCTTCTTTTCTGTCCAAACCCCCACCAAAAAATATTTTAAAACCCCAGAGCTGTTTCCTTAACCACCTTAGTTGGTATCTCTGCTGAACATCCAACAGGTTCCTCAAAGTTCACATGCCCCAAGTGAACTATTATCTCCTTCACCTCAAATCTGCTCCATGCCTTTCCCAGTCAGGAGATGCTGTTGCTCATCTAGCAGCTCCAACCAAAAACCATACCATTGATCTCAACTCCTCTTCCTCTTCCTTGTAGCCTACATCCAATCTGTTGGCTCCATTTTCAAAATATCTAGGGAATCCACCCTTATTTCACCAAATGCAAAGCCACCACAATTCTCATCTGAATTACTGCTATAGTGTATACTAACTGACCTCCCTGTTTCTACCTGTACTCTTTATACTTGTCCACAAAACAGTAACAGTGATCCTTTAAAAACAAATTTGCAGGCAGGTGCCAGTGGCTCACTCTTACAATCCTAGTTATTCAGGAGGCAGAGATCAGGAGGATTGCAGTTTGAAGCCCACACGGGCAAATAGTTCAAGACCCTATCTCGAAAAACATATCACAAAAAAGAGCTGGCAGAGTGGTTCAAGTGGTAGAGCATCTACCTAGCAAGCACTGAGGCCCTGAGTTCAATCCCCAGTACCACAAGAACAAAAGTAAATTCGCCTAGGACACTTCCCAACTCAGTTTTCCAATGGCTTCCTATCACATGTAGATAAAAATTTGAAGTCTGAGGCAGAGGGTGAGCTCAGTGGTAGTCTATGCTTCACAAGAGCAAGGCCCTGGGTTTAATCCCCAGCACACCACCCAAAACAAACAAACAAACAAAAAAACCTTAAGAAAAACCAATAAAATTCAGCGTTCTTCCTCTGATTTCTAAGAGCTTAAAGAGTCTAGACTCATTCTCCTCTGTTCTCCCACCTCCTTTCTCCCCTCCTCTCCGGCTCCTGGTGCGGGACGCCTCTCTAAAAGCCTTGGCCTAAGACATTGTGTCACTGTTTCTTATGAATTATTCTTTCCCAGAAAGCCACCTGGATTGCCCCTTTTCTCTTTATTCAGATTCCCCTTGGCAATGTTCCTTCCTCAAGAGAACTTTGCTGACTACTCTTGTCATTCTCTACTCTGTTTTTTTGTTTTTTTGCAGTGGGGGGTAGGGGGAAAATCAAACCCAGAGCCTCACTCATACATACTCTACTACTGAGATACAGCCCCAGCCTGTGATTTTCTTTTTTTATAGGGCTTACGGTTCCCGGCAGTATACCTGCTAACTTGCAAATTACCTGTCTCTCATACAGAAAATCTAGGAGGTAAGCATTCTGCATACTTCATTAGTTTCTGCATACCCAGCATCCAGAATAATGGGTTACACAAAGTAGGTGTGGATAGGATGCCCATCAGATGAATGAGCCAGCAGGTCTGAAACAAATGCCAAGCCTATAAAGGTTTCCTTTACCCCATATTTCCCATTCAGCTCCCCTCTGCTATGCCATCCTGGGGCCAGTCCTGATCAGCATCTCACTTCATCCCTATGGTAGCTTCCTCACTGGCTATCCCGACCAGCTTTGCATTTCTAAAGCAATCTTTTTGATGTCATCCAACTTTTTCTCTAAATAAATGAAGACTCCTGGCAAGGCAAGGCAAACCTGGCATTCTGAGAGCTTGAAGGCCCACTTTTCTAGCCTGTCTCTGTGGGAAGGCTCTCTCTCCAACCTAGTCAGAGCACCTTCCACTCCCCAGAAACAAGTGGCCCCTTCATACTTCATGGCTTCACTCATAGTAGCCTCCTCTGTGGGCCTCTTCCTGGCTACCCCACTGGCAGTATCTTTTCTGACCATGAAGCCTGCCACCCCTGACCTGCTTGAAGCCCTGACCTCCCAGAGGGAAGGCTATTAATCACTTTCATTGACACGCAAGTTCCCTGCTACACCCTAGTATCCCCAAAGCACCTTACAGAGGACCTGGCATAGAGGAGTGTTGACGAAAGTTTGGATGTGCACCCTGGCTGACTAACCCATTAGTCGGCCTACGATAGCTGTCATTTCTCACAAATTCAAGAGGAAGCCACAGGGACTCACCCACAAAGCGGAATTGGTTCGGAAACATGTCAAAGAGCCCATTGCTGTGCATGGCAAAGAGGATGGCAAAGTAAACAGCGAGGCTGCCCCAGATGAAGAAGTGGTTGATGGCCGTCCAATAGCCTGTATCCAGGCCAATCTGCAAAAAGTAGTTGTTGTCATAGGTAGGAGCACTCAAGAACCAGAACTGTGAAGCTCAGGGCAGCCGTAGGAACAGAAGTTTCACTCTTTCCAGTGGAAAAGACAATTCCTGGGCACTCATACCTGCACACTGACCACAATGACCAGTGATGTGGCCACAGTGACTGCAAAGGACTGGTAGTCAGCAAGCTGGGTGCCATCATCCCGCGTGGCCTCAGCAAACACCCCATAGGGGATGAAGAACATGAGCACAGAGGTGTAAATGCCCTGGGCAATGCAGATGAAGAACTCTCGCTTGTTGAAGAGGAGGTTCAGCTGGCCTGGCTCATACAGCTTAGGGTACTCCATGCTTCGCTGCTCAGGGACATCCTATATGGGAGGGCCACATGTCAGAGGCCTGAGAAATTGCCATTTTGGGCCTGGCAGAGTGGCTCAAATGTAGAACATCTGCCTAGCAAGTCTGGGGCCCTGAGTTCAACCCCCTCCCCAGTGCTGCTATCAAAAAAACAAAAAGAAACTACCATTTTGATGATGGCCTACACAGACCCAGTCCCTTGCTCCTCCTTTCCAAAATCTTTTAACAGCAAGAAATAACCGCAAGCCTGCTTCTCCAATCAATCTGTGCTCAGCAACCCAAGGGAGTTACGGGTCCCAGAACTGAGATGCAGAGCCTCCCCATGCCCTTCCCTGAATGTACTGCCTTCCTGTTGACCACAGGCTATGGGCACAAGTCTCACACACCCACTACATTAGTTCAACACCCTTTTACAGTAGGATTCTTCTCCCCATCCTGCTTGTTCATCAAACTTCCCCATCCATACCTGATCAAAGACCCCCATAGCCAGGACTGGGAGGGAAGTGTACACGATGTTATAGAGGGTGATGAAATACTGGTCATACACAGTCTAAAAGAGAACAGAGGGCCAGAAAGGAGTGAGCATGCAACTTCTTCACTATAAATTAGGCACAGGAAGATAGCAGGGAGCAATTTTTTTTTTTTTTTTTTTTTTTGAGGGCTGGCCCTGAACTCACAATCCTCCTGCCTCAACTACCTGAATGCTGGAATTACAGGCATATGCCACCATATCCAGAAAGGAATTTTCTTGAGCTCCCTCTCTATTCTCAATAAACATTTTTAAATAGATGCACTAGACAATAGGATTGGGCAATGAACAGGACAGATACAACCTCTGCCCATAAGGAGCTTACAGATATACAACACAGAGGTCTGGGAACACTTGCTACCTGGGCCGAGAAGCCGCAGAAGAACCCAAACCAGAAGTGGACCATGGTGAAAGCGAAGTTCTTATAGAAGAAATAGCAGAGAAACTTGCACATGCGCAGGTAGGACCAGCGACCATGTACCAGCAGGAGACGCTGCAGGAACTTGAACTGAGAGAAAGAGTAATCCGAGGCCAGGACGGCCTGGATCCCTTCCTGCCCGCTGATGCCCACGCCGATGTGAGCTGCTACAAAGACAAAAGATAAGAAGGTAAAGATGGTCACACACTTTAGGTGCCACGAAGTTACAGTCCCTCTTATGTTATTCTTCTCTGGTGTGGGGACCTCAATGGGGCAGGACTTCCACCTCCAGCCCAGCCTAGAAACCTACCCAGTCTGCACTCACTTTTGATCATGCTGACATCATTGGCCCCATCCCCAATGGCAAGTGTCACAGCCTTCTTGTATTTCTTAACCAGTTCCACTACTTGTGCCTTCTGCAAGGGGGTAACCCGGCAGCAGATGACAGCTTTGCAGGCACACGCTGTCTCTAGAAACTCCAGCTCCATGTCTGCCTCCAATGCATGGGCCTGGAACACACAGAGATATGAGAGAGGTACAGTCTTCCCAGCAGACACCTGGGAGTCTCAGCACCTTCGTTCCCTTGAAGATTGCAACTTCCGCTGAGATCAGGGAAGTAACAGCAAGGTAAGACATAAAAGCCATCCTGAAAGAAGCACTTTCTGGGGGAACTGCCCAATTAAGGATGACAGCCCTTACCAGGCTATGACCGTTGATGACCAGCGCATACTCTCCGGCAACAGCTTCCAGGACAGAAGTGAGCTTAGAAGAAGAAAGTTTCTCCTGGTATGTGAAACCGTTGCCTACAGTGCGAGAGGAGTCCACCATCTTCTCCCGGGCTTTCCTGTGATGGTGGAAATGAAACCACGGTGGTCCTCAGGACCACAGCAGGGAGTCAGGACTGAAGTCTCAACAGGGTTTAGAAACCCCTGCCTGACCCCCTGGGCATAGCACAGGGCTTCTGCCTCCTTTGGGCTTTTTCTTTACCTGAGTTCCTCTCGCACCTCCAGAACGGTGTGGCCCGTGACTATGAACACCTCTGTCATGTCGTCCGTCAGCATCTTGCAGGAGTAGCCAATGTTCACGGCCGTCTCTACCAAGACAGAACGCAGGAGCTACGGGCAGGCCATCCAACAAGGTCAATGCACTCTCCCGCCTGGTAGCACAGCTCCATAGACGGGCCAACAGGACTACTGCCCACCTGCCACTACCTCTGCCCTGTTGGGCTCTCACCTTGTTTGTCTCCAGTTAGCACCCAAATCTTGATGTTGGCCAGCGTCAGGAGGGCGATGGTCTCTGGAACCCCTTGCTGAAGTTTGTCCTCAATGGCTGTTGCACCCAGCAACTGAAAATACCACAATGGCTCCTGGCATGACAGTCACAGGCACCAGCCCTCCTTGCCCACCTTCCACCCATCCTGTGCCTGTACCATCATGTCACTCTCAACCTCCTCATAGATGCTGGCCAGCCTGTCCTCCCGGCTGTCACGGGCCACGCTGGCTTGCAGTCGTCTTTCAGCCCACTCCTCGTAGTACTCATCATCCAGATCCTTGTAGGCCAGCACCAGCGTTCTCAGCCCTTCCCCTGCGTATTCCTGGAGGCAGAGTTGAATGTATAGCATGAAGACCACAATTACAAGGTGGTCTTGTAATTGTGCACAATTTCTAAAATACATTTTAGAAATTCTAACAACAGGAGTAAAAAAGGTAACTATGAGAGATGGTGGATTCACTTGACTGTAGTAACCACTTCTATGTATATCATGTCGTGCACCTTAGATGAATTCAATAAAATGAGAAACCCACAAAAAAGAAAGGAAGCCAAGTCCCCTCCCCACCCCACCACCGATAGCCACAAAAGCACGAGGCTGGCCCTCCTCCCCTCACACCTACATTCAGGTGGTCAGTGGTGCTGTTGAGCAGCTCCTGCGTAGAGTGATGGAGTCTGTCAAGCAGGATGGTGTCTGCTCCTTTGCAGTACAGTCGTATCTTCCCCTCTGGATTCCGTACTATGAATGGGGCAAGGGGAGAAAGTGCCACAAAAATTCAAGCAGGCAAAGACCTCTACACTAAACTCATCAACAACAGTTCTCCAACACACCTCACCCATTGCAGGGCTGTATACTGCCCTGAATCCCGGCCTCACCTATGACTGACATCCGCTTGCGGATATTGTTGAAGTCCAGGATGGCCAGCAGCTGGTAGGTGATGGCTGTGCCCATCTCATGGACAGTAATTGTTTTGGGTGTACGAGAGCGGAACACGAATCCAAAGTTCCTGGCTGCAGTGACCAAGGCCCCCTCATCTGGGGACTGGGCTTTGTAGTACAGCTCTCCTGGGTGGGGAAGAACATGTGTGGTGTAAGTGGCCTTCCAGGCACATGCCCCAGCCAGGAAGCCCCAAGCCAGCAGCAATGCCGAGTAGAGACCAAGAGCATGAACTGGGCTGGGACAGACAGTAAACCAGCTCCCCAACAAACCTTCGTTCTTTTCTTCTGACATGACAGTGTGACACAGGGAAAGGAGGCGGAAGAACTCATGTGTGTGGGGGTCTCCCATCTTGACAGCCTCCAAGAGGCTTGGATCCCAAAACAAGAACTTCTTGTCAGCCAGAGGATTAAAAGAGAAGTCAACAGGCTCGGGCCTCTGCAATAGGTTAAGAAGGCTCTTAGGCTATATATCCCTGGAGAGGGGATGTCTCTGCCCTTTCACCTCTCAGTAGGAGAACCCAGACCACTGTGGGCCTCAAAATTCCCTATCCTTTCTTTCTTTTATATATTTTTTTTTTTTGGCAGTACTGGGTCTTGAACTCAGGTCCTTCACCTTGAGCCATTCTACCAGCCCTATTTTTTTTTTCTTTTTTGTGAAGGGTTTTTCAAGATAGGGCTGCACAAACTATTTGCCCAGGCTGGCTTCGAACCACAATCCTCCTGATCTCTGCCTCCTCAGTAGCTAGGATTACAGGCATGAGCCACCAGCAACTGGATCCCTATCCTTTTTTTTTTTTCTTTGCAATACTAGGGGTTGAACTAAGGGTCTAGTGCTTGCTAGAAAGGCACTCTACCAGCCCTCCATCCTCCATATATATATACACATATATATACACGTATATATATATATTTTGGTGCTACTGAGGTTTTGAACTCAGGTCTTTGCACTTGCTAGGCAGGCACTCTACCACTTTGAGCCACACCCCAGCCCCCTTTTTTGGACACAGGGTCCCTCTACATAGTTGAGTAGAGGCAGTCCTTCTGCCTCTACGTCACAAGTGCTGGAAATGCAGGCATGTGCCACCATGCCCAGCAAAATTCCTACTTCTGTCATCAGTTCTTCCTTAAAACATCCAGTTTGTCCAAGCAGCTTCCATTTTCTGCCCAGATAGCATATGGGCTCATTATTCCAATTGGCACATAGCATAATTACAAAGACTGGATCTTACCGCTCCCAGTTCAGCTTTGTGTCCCAGGACATCAAACACGTCACCTAAACACAGTCAGAACAGAAGGAGAAGCAACATCAGAGTTGAGAATCTCAAAAGCTTTGAGGAAAAGTCTCTAATACAGACCTTCACAGGCATTTGGAATTCTCAGCCCTGTCAAGTAGATGTCACTTGCATTCACACTGCTGTCACCCTGGTTCCAGAACCCAGGATCTTGGTCACAAAAAAAATCATGGTGCCTACTGCTCACCATCCTTGTTGCCACCACTTCCCTGCAGCTCTCCCCTCGGGGCAGCTCTGATTCTTCACATCCCTTTGCCAGAGCTCCCAGGCCTCCTCTAGTGCCTGACACCCACTGGGCCTAGGCTTCAGTCAAAGCCTCACACACTGGCCACTAGGTGCTGGTTAGTACAGAAAGCAGTTACAGCAGGGCTCACACCTGCACAAAGGCAACCCCTTTGCACTCTTCTACAAGGCACCCCAATAGCTCAGCCACAAGACCATTGCAACAGGGCGCACTGGGAAAACTGTGGTCACATTCCAGAGACTCACAATTGCCCTGAGCAGCAACACAGGGAGAGTCTAGCACTCCACCGGGACAGCTAGCGTCCAATCTGGCCAGGATGCCCAAGACCAGTGTCTTGGGATTCACTTGAAACAGCCAAGGAGTTCCCCTGGTGCTAGAGCTGAGACCAGGACAAGGGCACCAGGGGAGAATAAGGAAAGGACTCTCAGTATCTGGTTCCTGGCACAGGATACACAAAGGTCTTTCAAGGCCCTTCAGACCCTAGCAGGAAAGAAGTACAACCCAAAATCAAGACAACTGTGGGAGCCCCAGTTCCACTGTCCAGGTGAGACAAAAACCCTAGCTCCCCTGCCCCGTGGCACCACCATACCATAGCTGCGGCCATTGATGGAGCACTTATTGAAGACCATGATGTTCTGGGTGAGGGTGCCAGTCTTGTCAGAGAAGATGTACTCCACCTGACCCAGCTCCTCATTGAGTGTGGTGGTGCGGGCCTCAGCAGGTGTCCGCTTCTTCATGCAGAACATCTTTTTGTCCCAGTTGATGAAGTAGCTGTGGCCCAGACGGATGACCTCCACACTGAACAGTGGACAAGAGTTGAGGCTTGGGGTAGGAAGGGGAGGAAGAAGTGCCCCACCCAAATGAGCCTTGGCTGCAGGCCCCCTGCCTCGGGAGAAACAAAAACGGAAAAGACACCTGGGCTCAGGAACCTGGGCAAGAAGGGATAAGGGGAGCCTGCAGGTAGAGCCGCCCATGGCAGAGAACTTCCCGACCCGACCCTCTGACTCTCTCCAGACAAAAAGGTGCAAAGGGCCTGGGCAGGCAGGACAGACAGCACAGGCAGAGGAGGAAAAGGGACTGCAGACAAGGCACTTGACCAGTTCTTACCTCAGGACTAAATACAGAAACCATGCAGAGAAAAACAAGAGAAAGTGCAAGAGGGAGGGGAGAGAGAAAAAAGAGAGAAATATAAGGGTGCTGTGCATGCCACAGCAACAGATGCCACCTCAAAGGGGCGATGTTGTGGGAAAAAAAATCAAAAGGCTCCCAGCCCACTCGCTCCTCACTGCCCAACACAGGCAGAGCGCTCCTACCCTGGGCTGGGTCTCCACAACTCTGACTCTGTGGCAAAGCTGAGGCACTAACTCCACAAGGGAGAGGGGCCTCAAGAAGGTGGAGCATCACAGTAAGTCACAAGGGAATGGTGCTTTCAGCCTCTCCATCCTCTTTGTTAATCGCCAACTTTGGGATATGGATTGTTAGTATCCTCAGAAATGGCCCTGAACCAGCCGAGCAATGGCCCGTATCTGGAATCCCACTTCTGACAGGACTGAGGCTCCTGTCAGATCCCGTTACCAGACAGTATGTGCGATAGTTGGAAAAGTCGTCATAGCCTTTCCCCATGTAGCTTATCAACCCTCCTCCCAACCTCCCCCAGACACACAATGTAACCGAGTGGGACTTAGAAAGAAAACTTTCTTAGGAGTTACCAAGGGCTTCCAATGAACTTAGATACAAAATAGGGCCAGCAAAGCCCAAAAGCAGGGAAATAAAATTAGTTTTTTGCAAGCAAAAAATTTAAATAATAATTCAGAACCAGAGTTGCAATGATGATAGACATGACACAAGCCAACATTTGTATAGCAGTTTTTTTAGGGATTTTTTTTTTTTTGGTGGGACTGGGGTTTGAACTAGGGTCCTGAGCTTGCTAGACAAGCACTATACCACTTGAGCCACGCCCCAGTCCCTTCCCTTATGTTGTTTTTCGATAGGTGCTTTTGCCCAAGTCTACCTCAGGCCCTGATCCACCTACCTTCACCTTCCGAGTAGATGGGATTATAGGTATACCCAGCTTGTTCTTTTTTTATTTTTTAAATTTGTTTATTTATTTACATATATGTTTTTTGGTGGGACTGGGGTTTGAACTCAGGGCTTCATGCTTGCAAAGCTAGCACTATACTGCTTGAGCTACGCCTTCATTCCATTTTGCTCTGGTTATTTTGGAGATGGGGGTCTGGTGAACTATCTGCCCAGGCTGGCCTAGAACTAAATCCCCCCAGTCTCAGCCTCCTAAGTAGCTAGGATTATAGGCATGAACCGCTGGTGCCTACCTCCAGCTTGTTTTTTTGAGATAGGGTCTTGCTAAGTTTTTGCCTGGGCTAGCCTCAAACTGTGATCCTCCTATTTCTACCTATCAATTAGCTGGGATTATAGGTGTAAGCCACTGTGCCTGTGTTTGTATAGTAATTTAATTTTTTAAAATATACTTTCCAATCCAGTATCTTATAGTAAGACGTCTCTATGAAGAAGGTAAAACAGGTTATCAATGTTCCCATTTTACATGAGAAAATGGAAACCACATGAGGCCCGTCACTGTGGGTTTGCCTGAAGTCACATGGCTAATGATAGGTAGGACTAAACTGAGAACCTTCTGATTCTCTTAGTGCTCTAGAAAACCCAGACCTGTACACTCTCAGCACAGAAGCCCTTTATCTTCTACTTGATGTCATCAGTGCTAGCCTTAAGGGCTAGTGGGGAGACTTGAGGACCAGTCATTTGGGGAATCTCCATCAAATGAAGATGCAAGCATACCCATAAAGCATTTTCTTTAAAAACATCACAGGCTCAGCCAGGTGTGATGGCCCATGCCTGTAATCCCAGCACACAGGAGGAGGCTGAGGCAAGACTATAAGTTCAAGGCCAGCCTGGGCCACACAGTAAGACCCTATCTCAAAACAACAACAAAAAAGTCCAAGGCTCCCTTATCTCAAATGCAGGCACTAAGGAGGAAAGTAAGTTTCTTTCTTCTGGATTCTCCCTTCCTCCTTCTACACCCTCCTCTTTTCTCCATCCTCACTGCTTCTTCCCTGCTAATGTTTTCTTTACCTCAAACATCCTAGATGTCCCCTTGACCTGTACATGTTGCATACTACCGCCAGCCAGTATTTCCTAAAGCATTCTTTAGATTTTTTTTAGAAGGCATTCTTTAGATTTTTTTTCAAAAACCTTTCATGGCTACAAAGCACAGGCCCATAGACAAAGATTCGAGACCCTGACAATCAGTAGCAAGCTTCTGTTTCCAGGTATCTCTCTTGGCTCTAATTAAGAAGCCATTCCCAGAGTCTAATCTCCTTGCCTTTATTTCCAAACCCCTCCACCCCATCTCCTTTCCAGCTCCACCTCCTTCATCTACCTCAGTGCAACTGCCACCTTTTCTGAGATGTCCTCTCTGATTAACTGCATGGGGAGCAACACTCTTCCAGCTCTCCTGGACTGCAGTCCTCCTGCATGGCATCTCAGGGTCTACCACATTCCTATTCCCCCACCCCCACCCCACCCAGTATGCTGCTTTTGAAGACAGAGCTATTTGACACATCCTAGTGCCCTCTGCTTTACACAGGACTCTAGGTGGAATGACTTCAACAGCACTTGTTCCCATTTTGCTTCATAATGGGTTTCAATTTATCTTCCTCTACTAGATTTAAGCTCCTAAAGGGAAGGAGAGCATTTCTAATTTACCTTCACATGTACCACAGCACCTAGCACATCTTTGCACAGAACAGGAATGCAAGAAACATGCTAAATAAATCAATATGGCTTTTGTTCTAATACAGTTCAAAATGTCAGAAAACTGGTCAAAAGTTTGCTTTGCACACAAATAGGTAACATAAAATGTTCACGGTACAGGAAGAAGAGGACTCCACATTCCTTCTTAAGGATTTTATCGTCATAGAAAAGTCTACCAACGAATCACTTGGGCTCCCTGGAGAGACCCAAGAGCAGAGAAAGCACATACCTGACATACAGTGAGATGGGCACGACGGTGTTGAGGATGATGATGTAGGACCAGAAGGAGAGGAAGCCAGAGAAGAAGGCACTGTCCACCGCCTCATCCCAAGGCAGGTACACCTGGAAGCGCATCCCCACCTCGTGCTCCCAGATGGCATTGCCAATGGCCAGGATAACCCCCATGCAGACCAGGAATCCAAAAATCTGGGGGAGAATGAAAAGCAGAAGCTAGGCAGACACAGGAAGCCTTTTAAATAACATGCATCCTTGGGGAAGGTCACTACTGGTACCCTTAAAAGAAATCCAGATACTCTTTGTTTTTTTTGTTTTTTTGTTTTTTTTTTTGGCGGTACCGGGATTTGAACTACCAAGAGTCTCACACTTGGTAGGCAGGTGCTCTACCATCTGAGCCACCCCACCAGCCCTTTTTTCATGTTGAGTATTTTCAAGATGGGGTCTCACAAACTATTTGCTGGGCTGGCTTCAAACTGTGATCATCCTGATCTCTGCCTCCCAAGTAGCTATGATTATAGGTGTGAGCCGTCAGCACCCAGCTCAGGCATCTTTAAACTTGGCAGTATGCTCTAGTGGAAAAAGCTCAGAACTGCTGACAGGTCCTTGCATGCCCCTGTCATGTGGTCTTCTTTCTAAACATTTTCTCATCTCTATCATGGGAAAGCTGAAACAGTTAAAAGCTTATTAAATTACCCATTCACCTGAGCTAAGTCTCCACAAGCCAACAAAAAACCGTGATACTGGAATATCTTTATTTCATATAAACTGCCTTTTTTTTTTTTTTTTTTTTTTTGCTGGTACTGAGATTTGAACTCAGGGTCTCATGCTTGCTAGGGAAGCACTCTGAGCCACTCTGCCAGTCCTTTTTTGGTTGGGTATTTTCCAAGATAGTCTTACGAACTATTTGCCTTGGTTGGCTTCGAACCTCGATTCTCCTGGTCTCTGCTTCCTGAGTAGCCAGGTTTACAAGTGTGAGCCACTGGGGCCCAGTGCCCAGCTAGACTGCCATTTTTTAAAACATTTAAATTAGCACATATTAGTTGTATAGGGAGGTTTCATTGTGACATTTCCATATATGCTTACAATGTAAATGTTAAATTCACTCCCCAGGACACCATTTTATTTTAAACCAGGGAAACAAACTATATTTCCATAAATATAGATGTGTGTGTGTCTGTGTGTGTGTGATAGGTGTTTTCGAGATAAGAGTCTCTCGAAACATTTGCCCAGGGCTGGCTTTGAACCTAGATCCTACTGATCTCTGCCTCCTAAGTAGCTAGGATTATAGGTATAAGCCACCAGAGTCTGGAACTTAGGGCTTCACACTTTTGAGGTAGGCGCTCTACCACTTGAAGCACACCATCAGCTAATACAGATTTCTTGATTAGTCAAAAGAAAGCTTGGGCCACATGTGTTAGTTAGCACATGCCTATAATCCCAGCACTCAAAAGGCCAAGGCAAGAGGAGACTGAGGGGTTTTTTGTTCTTGTTTTGTTTTTTGAGAAAGGGTTCTCAAAAAAAATAAAAAGAAATAAGAAAATAATTGAGACCACGTCTGGTTTCTGACAACTCCGATGCTTTAAAACAAACCAGGAACTGTCCTGGTGCAAATGACCACCAGGGGGCAAGGTGAGCCTTTGCGTGAGGTACCTAACTGCATTCACTCAAGGGTTTCTGCAAATCCTTTAAAACTAGGGCAGAAAAAGAGCAGTGGCAAGCCCTAGTCTTTGCAAGCTGGCATGTGAGGGGGCAGGTAGTAGGCAGGAGGGACACAAGAAGGGGAAGGAAAGCCCAACAAGGAGCTCCAATTTCTAGCCAACAAGAGAAGGATTCAGGAATTGCCAAACTTTTCCTCTGGGATCCTTCATCCTTAGAAGTTAGGGGGAAAGACTCTCTAGCCATCTTCCAAATGGAAATTTTTTTTAATTCCTTCTCCATCTCCATGAAGGCCTCCTTGTCCCTGGTGAAGGCAAACAGAAGGTCACATGCTGCGCTAAGTCATCATCCTAACTGGAACCCAGAGAAGGGACGATTTGTTTCAGCTTTCTTTAAGTTGATTCATGCATGCGCCCAAGGTTTTTTAAAATAACATCTTCCAAATCTAAAAGAAGCCTGAAATGAACACTGCCTTTTAGTAGCTTACCTGCCATTGGCTTTAAAGCCAAACTAGAAACCTGACCATAGAGCAAGGGCAAGAAATGGGAGCAAAGGGAACCACCCAGGTGGAACCAAAGGGCAGGGGCAGGAAACATGGGATGCTTACCCAGAGCACCAGTGTATTCATCAGGCGATCAATACTTGTTCTCTTGAACTTTGTCCTCCCACTGTTCTGCATTAGCTTAGTGTCAGGACCTAAAAAAGAATGGGAAGCCAAATAACAAATCTGCCTGTGGTCTTTTGAACTCATCTCCAAACTGCAGGACATCAGGGTGAAGTGGAGACAACAGGTGGGCAAGAGGATTTCATTCAAGGCTGATGGCTTTTCACCTTATGTATTCCAGCAGCCCAAGCAGCTTTGTCCTGAACTCCTGAGAGGGGCTGAGTCATTATCTCTTACCCTTCTTTCATGGGACACAAAGAGGCTCACCTGCGAAGATGACCAACCCAAAGCACCACTCGGTGTTTCGAAGCACACAGCCCCGCAACAGCATGTTCTGGTTGCTCAGGGGGAATTTGTTTTCCTTCCAGTAGAGGGTTCCACTGAATTTGTCCAGCTTGTTGTTGGGAGGTTCACAGATCACTTCACCTGAATGGGAGATAACAGTGCCATTGCTCAAGGTCCAATCTATAGCCTGATTACAAAATAATAAAAGAGAGAAAAAGATAGGGGGGGTAAGGACATGGGCCCATCTACACACTGCTTGCAGGAGTAGGAGCTAATGCTAATACTTTTCAGGACAAGAATGAGGCAGTAGGCTGGATGTGGTGGTCCACACTTATAATCCCAGCACTTGGGAGGCTGAGGAAGGAGGATCACAAATTCAAGGCTAGCCTGGGCTAGATAGAGAGACCCTGGTCAAAAAAAGAATGAGGCAGCATGAACTAGTATTAAAAGTACACATATAGCTGGGTTCTGGTGGCTCACGCCTGTAATCCTAGCTACTCAGGAGGCAGAGATCAGGAGGATCATGGGTCGAAGCCAACCCCAGACAAATAGTTCTCAAGACCCTATCTCAAAAAAAATCACCACAGAAAAGTGCTGGTGGAGTGGTTCAAGGTGAAGGCCCTGAGTTCAAGCCCTAGTACAGAAAAAAAAAAAAAAAGTACACATATAAGCCAGGCACCAATTGTTTACATCTGAAATTCTAGCTAATTGGGAGACTGCAATCAGGAGGATCACAATTTCAAGCCAGCCTGGGCAAAAAATTCACAATACCTCATCTCCAAAATAACCAAAGCATAATGGACTGGAGGTGTGATTCAAGCTGTAGAGTGTCTGCTTTCCAAGTGTGAAGCCCTGGGTTCAAACTCCATCCCACAAATAAAAGAAAAAGAAAAAGTACACATATACCTGGACCTAATAATCCCACTTTGGGGACTCTCTTCTACAGAAGTAGCATAGTTCACAATAATTTTTATTGAAGCATTACTGGAACAGAAAAAGACATGAAACCACTGAATGGTCAGGGAATAGTTGAATAAATTGTGGCATATCAATTCTATGAGATATTATGTAGCTATTAAAGAGAATAAAGTAAAGTTCTTTACATGGTAATGTGATAAGGTATTTATGATATATTTAAGACAGGTAGTGTCCCCCTGTAATCTCAGTACTCTGGAGGTTGAGGCAGGAAGATACTGAGTTCAAGGACAGCCTGAGCTGTATTGTGAGACTTGTCTCACCAAAAAAAAAGAAAAGAAAGAAATTGATAATTATGATATATTTAATAGGTAAAAGAGGCAAGTTTCAGAGATTTTAGTACAACAGGGTCACATTTAATTATTTTACATGTTTTTAAATGAATATACACAGAACTGAAGGAGGGGACAATTAGAGGATAAGAGGGATTAACCTTTTTTTTTTTTTTTTGTTTTGGTGGGAGAGGGGTTTGAACTCAGGGCTTTATGCTTGCAAAGCAGGCACTCTACCACTTGAGTTACATCTCCAATCCATCTTGCTCTGGTTATTTTGGAGAGGGAGTCTGCAGAACTATTTGCTTGCCTCAAACCTCCCAATCACAGTCTCCCAAGTAGCTAGGATTATAGGCATGAGCCACTAGCACCCAGCTACTAACTTCTGACACATGCTATATGGGTTTGTGGGTTTTTTTGTTTTTTTTTTTTTTGGTAAGGAGCATATATACCTTATATGCTATCAGGCAAAAATAAGCTGAATTTCTCTCTCAACATGCACAGCACAGTAAGAGGGAGCTATCAGCCACAAAGTTCCCTTGAAATCACCATTAGCTCCAAAGTGAGTAGTAACCACTTGGCATTCCTGACATGCCCTTCCCAAAAGAATCCAGTGAGCTGCATAATGACAGCAACCAGAAGCTAAGAGGAAAAGGTACAATGTGAACCTAACCCACCTTCACTACCTGAAGGCTGCTTCTCCAAGATTACTCACCATCAAACTTGGCAAGCTTGCTGATGTCTCCCAATTCCGAGGTGACTGGAATGGCCTGACGCACTTTCATGTTGGTCTCTCTGGAAGAAGAGTACCCCTGAGTCTTGACTCCCTCCCCATCCTCTAGATTCTACCTGACTGCCACTGCTTAGCCTAGCAAGTACTTCTACATATCCAAAGCCTTTCTTACCTCTAAGTTTTCTATTTTTTTGGTGGGGGGAGGAGGACTGGGTTTGAAACTCAGGGCCTCATGCTTGCAAAGCAGATGCTCTACTGCCTGAGCCACACCTCCCGCTAAGTTTTCTGAAAGGTACAGAAACCTTGGAACCTCTTTCAAAATAAATCCTTTACTCTTAAGGAGAGGGCTGACACTGAGGATACCACTTACCCATCAAGTTCTGCCGTCTCTATGTAACACAGCCCATGGGGCTCACTGCTGGAAAGGAGGAGGAGATCCGCCTAGAGAGAAAACCTAATGAGAACTCCAAATACCGAAACCTCCACCCTCAGTGGACTCTATATGGTCACTGCTCCTCCACTAAGCATCATTTGTTTTTAGGAGTTCCAAGTGCATGAATATCTAGTCCCAGGCATGTTAACACAGGAGCCCTCTCACCACCCAAGAAAGTCTCCTCCCATGGGTACTGAAGAGGCAGTAGATAATCAGGAAGGATTCAACCCTGCCAAAGAGGAAAAAAAGCCCACAGATGTGAGAGGCACCTGGTCCCTTACCGCTACAAACTGGTTATTTTCTAGCTTGATAATATCACCAACACAGACATTCATCCACTGTTCTTGCTGGAGGCTATAACAACAAGTCAGTAAAGAGGGTGTCAGTGGCTACAGAAGTTCTTTCCCAGGGGACCCCCCTTCTTCCTAGAGCCCTCATCTCCAATAGGCACTCACATTCCATTGATCAGCACCTGAGACTGACGGTTATTCACCTGGTTATCACTCTTGTGGCGGAACTGAAAAGAAGAGAACTGAGAAAGGTAAGATACCTTCTTTTGCTCCAAGGGAAATGCATCATCAGTGGAGCTCAGAGCATGCTGGGTAATGTCTTGTATATGCCTATCCACCTCTCTCCCTGACTCTTCCTCCCCACCTTCAGAACATGGATCTAGCTGGGCTGGTAAGGGATGTCAAGGTCACCAAGGAACTGTGTGCTGTATGAAAGTGGCTATGAGTTTGGGATAGAGGTGGGCGAGAGGGAAGGAGAAAGTGGAAGAATGAAAGCAACTCACATAGTCATCAGTGGCATCTTTAACAGCTGTGATGGTGAGGACAAGAACCAAAGGCACAATGGTGGTGAACCAAGACAAGGAAGAGATCTGTGGGATCAACTGAAAAGAGGAAAGAGAAGCATGCTTCTGAGGCGCCATCTAGTGCCTTCTTGCCCCCACAACCTTCTTCTTTTTCAGCTTTATTTGACTTTCTGAGTTGCAAAGGATATACTTAAGATCACTCGCCTGTAGAATGAGAAGGAACAGGAAGTAGGTGTTGGCAACTTCCTGGAACTGCTCAAAGAGGTTGACAGGCAGGAAGGTGAGAATATTGTACTTGGAGGTCTTGATGCAGTTACTCTAGGGCAATAGGAGAAGAGATGATGAGGAAATATCCAACTCCAACGCAGAGCCAGACTGACGCTGACTCCTCCATTTTTCCACATCCCCAAACCTCGGCCCCAAGCAACCTCAGCTGTGAGGTAGGGAAAGAGAAGGAGAGGTAGGAGTCTCCTGGGGTCAATGTATTTTGTTTCACCTGCAGAAGGCCTAAAAAATTCAGCACAGCCAGGCCAGTGGCTCACACCTGTATTCCTAGCTACTCAGGGGGATCACCATTCAAAGCTAGCCGTAGGCAAATAGTTCACGAGAACCCTATCTTGAAAAAAACCTTCACAAGAAAGGGCTGGTGGAGTGGCTCAAGGTATAAGCCCTGAGTTCAAGCTCCAGTACCTCAAAAAAAAAAAAAAATTCAGCACAGTAGCAGATGGAAAGTGGCCATGAAAGCTTCCCTCACCTCCCAAAAACACCCTTCCCAGTCATTCCTGGGAATGGCCAGTCTCAGTCTCAGATGGTCCTGTACTTCTCCCTCCTCCAACTCAGGAAGAGGGGACAAAGTGGTCTAGTGTCACTTACCGCATACTGGAATTTCTCATTGTATTCTCGGTCATTAGCCCGCGCCCTCCTTTCTTCTTCTGTAATAGAATGATGCTGCAGTCAAGAGTTGTAAACTGAAGCCTAGACCCATATAGAGTCAGGCCTACCCAACCTTTGTGGGGGATCCACTGAGGGACATTGGTTCTTTCTACAGAATACAGTCTAATGGAGTTAGCACCACACCTGAGGTGTTATTAAATTTTTCCCTCTAATTCACCTCTCACCAGTGGCCTGACCACATGGCTCTGGAGGCTACTTTCCTTTTTTTTTTTTTTTAAGTCCAGACTGGTCTCAAATTCTCAATCCTCCTGTCTCAGCCTACCGAGTGCTGGGACTACAGGTATGTACCACCACTCTGCAAGTCATACTCACAGGACAGAGCATACTCTCTTTTCCTCACCACCAACTGTCAAGGTCTTCCTCTTCCCCACCCCACTGGAAGAGCTTTAGCCATTAATGGTCATGGGAATCCCCAGACCCTTCTTGCTGCTATTATTAATGCATCCATCATTATAATGAAGGACACTGGCTGAAGGCACAAAGCTCCTTCCTCCAGGGGACCACTGCAGATCTAGCCATGGCAGTGCTCTCCCCCAACCTAAGGAAGAGTAGTGTGGGTGGCAAGGCAGAGGGTCACTGTGCCCTGGAGCTGCTCTGCGGCAGCATCATAGCATCACAGCCCCACGTGCAGTCCCCCTACAGGAGACTTTGCTTGTCACATGTAACCAGCAGCAGCTTCTGACTGGCCAACAATGACATCACCTTATTGCAAAGCTCATCTTCAAGTAGGAGAAGGTGAGGGGGGGTGTCAGGGATATGGGTCATGCAGAGGGGCACAGAGATGGAGGAGAGAGGAATGAGATGCACTGAAACAGTTGCTCTCTAACCCATTTTGTACTATTTACACATATTTCCCTTGAACAAGTCATCTGTCATTTGGTTAGAAACATCTATTTAGCTATACCTATCCTGAACCTAGCAGGTCCCAGACTGCAGGCACCAAGTTCAGGTCCCAGAAGAAGGGTATGTCCTATGAAGGGCTCCCCATCCCACATCCCAAGGGTCAATATGACCTCAGGCTATAAAAAGGAAAAACTTGGTTAGGCAGTAAACCTAATGCCTTAACTTGTCTGAGAGCCAAAGGCAGCATTCCAGACCTCTTCCCTCAAGACCCTTGTAGAGCATCCTGCAATAACAAGACCCCAGGCAACTGAGCCACTTTACCGGCCCCTCCAAGAAAAAATAAAAAATAAAAAACTTCCCCAGAGGGGCTCCCTCCTGCTGAGATCTTGCAAAATCATAAGAGCATGCAAAGGATGCTCCATGGAGTGCAAAGGATGCTCCACTCCATCCTTCAAAGGCAGGATCTTTGGGTCTAGAAAGGAGATGGAGGAAGGAGGGAACAAGGTGAGAACAAGGGAGTGTGGGGGTGTGAAGACGAAAATTATGGGTGCAGGAGAGCTGCTAGGCGCTGCCTCCCGTTACCTGTCCCCCAAGAGGGCTTCTTTCGGCTCCAAGACGGAGGCGCCCCAGCTCGGGCCCACTTCTCTGGAATCTCCTTGGGGACCGTCATGATCCCGGTTTAAGTAGGGGAAGGTGCAGTCGGTCTTGTCCCTGGCCTCAGCAGCGCCAATAGGGCGGCCCCCCAGGGAGGTGGTGCAAGAGCTGCGAGCGCTCAGAGGGAAGCCGCGGCCACCCGGCGCGCGCGCCACCCGCAGCCCAGGCCATCCTCACAGCCACCAGTGACCCGGACCACCTCGAGCTCAGCTGCGCCACCGCTCCTGATGCCCCCCGCGGAGGCCGGCGCAAGCTGAGTGGACGCTACCCGGTGAGCACGCCCTGGGCTCCGCCCCCGCCCGTTCCCCTACTGCAGGGGCAGCAGCCTGCCAGCGCAGCGTAGGCGAAAGCCAGTGCGCGAGCCCCGCCTCCCCCTCTCCCCGCCTGGGCCAATGCGGGTGAGCGGACTGCCGGCGTTGTCCCGGGAACCGCTTTCACCATCATCCCTCCCACCCGCAGGAAAACTAGGAGGTCCGGGTGGGTGGGAAAATGAGGGGCATACCAGGCCAAAGAGTAGGAGCTGCCGATGCCCCAAGACAAGAGTATAGGTGTTTCAGGGTCCAGGGGGCCGGTGCTTAGAACCACCCCAGCAGGAAACCAGCTCAAGGACCAAACAGAACAAGTCCGTTTCCTAGCTATCCCCAGGATGTGTAGTGGTTTTAATCCCCGCCCCCCAAGACCCCGATCAGTTGTCCCTCTTCCCTTGGCTTCCTAAGCCATAATGACATCCAATTTTAATGGCTCTGGGGAACCAACAGACCTTGCCTTCTTACCTGGGGGGCGCTTTTTTGCACACAGTGCCATTTCACCCAGAAAGGTCCCAGCAATCCCATGGGAGACCCTGCAGGAAGGTGAGAGATGCGTGTGGTCAGGAAGCTGAGGATAACCTTTCATTCCCCTCATCATCTTGTAAAGGTTCACATCTTCTTGTGAAAGTTCTCTTCTCCAGTTCTGACCCTGCCCTGCCCAGCCCTCCCCACCAACGCCCTTCTTCTTGGCCCTGATGGGTACTTGAGGGAGAAAAGGGGACTTCCCTCTGCGCTGGATAGCATGGAAGAGGAGGGAAGGGAAGGAGGGCGCTGAAAGTTTACAGAGCCCAAGACCTGAAGGGAAAGGGCCTAGAAAAGGCCAGACTGACAAGAGGGGCACAGCTCTCAAGATATTTATCCCAGGGACAATGGATACCCCCAGTGCCCTCCTGGTGGCAATGTGTGATACCTGTGTTCCTTGTGGCAATGAGTAGTGCCTGTACTAGAAAGCAGGATTTCCCCCAAAGGGCGGGGTGGAGGAAACATAAGCCAGGAAACACCTGGCAGGGCATCAGGAAACAGGGTGGGCAGGCTCCACCCTTCTCAAAATGCTCATAATTCCCCACCCCCACCCCCTTGCTGGGGCTTCCATTATCACCTCCTCCACAGAGAAGTTCACATTAGAGGCATGGCCTTCACTTCCTGCACAGACAGTCCCCAAACCGCTTCCTCTCAATCTGGGTGGCCACCCTTTCTAGGCCAACAGAGGAGTCTTCCCAACTCTGTAGGGGAGTCACCCTTTCTCTTCCCCACCTCAGGCCCAGTCCAGACAGTATCACTGGGTGTAGGCTCAGGGAGCATCAGTCAGAGGAGGCCTCCACTTCCTTCCACATTCCCATGTCCTTTCTTTCTCCAAAAAAGGGTGAGGGGCCTGCCTACAAGACAGAGTCACAGGATCTCCACCCTGTTCACCAGCCTGGCCCAAAGGAAACTGCCAGTCACCTCCTCTTCCTTTGAGGGAAGGTCTTCCACCTCCTCCTTGGTTCCCCTCTCTTCAGTCTACTAGGTACACCCCACAGGCCTGTCATCCCCAAGAGATACTAATTGCCTGTCTGCCCAACTTCTATAATTACAGACTCTGGCCACAGCCCAGTCAGTCACCCACACCAGTTCTCCCTTCACTACCAGATTCCCTCCCTGACCTCAGATCCGGCAATACTGAGAGCCTGAAGTCCTTTACATCTCTGACCCTCCCCAGCTGTGGCAGGCAAGGGTGCTTGGCTCAGGACAAAAAACCTCATGCACATTTTAGAGATGCCAAGCCCTCCTCCAGGGCCCCCAGCCAGGGTCTCCACCCAGTCTAGAGTATGAGTCATGGGAGGGTGGGGTATTGAGGGAGAGGTTAAAGGAGAGGATGTAGAGTGGGCATCACAGATTGTCTAGTCCCACCCCTGGGGAAGGGGCTCCCAAGAAACACTGCCAGCCCAAAGACTTGGGTCTGCAGCCTATAAAAGAGTTAACCAAGGACTAGACCTCTCATCTAGAGTCAGGCATCTGGTCACCGACCAGTAAAGCAGTTTTACCTCTAAGACCCTAGGGAGACTGAAAGGCTTGGCCCAAGGCCCCATTCCCTCTGGGGACCAGTAATAGGGAGAGGAGGTGGGGCTGGCAACAGGGACCCCCTTCTCAGAGACCTCATCTCCTTCCCAGTCTTACACAGCCTGGGTTTTCTGAACCCATCAGGCCCATCAGCCACGTGGCCCTGCCCCATTACTCCATCCCCAGCCCCCTCTGCAGCCACATCTGGTATAAAAATAGCCAGCCCTGGGAAGAAGGCAATGCTCCACGAAGGAAAACCGGCTCCTCCTCTAGGTCTGGCTCCTGCTCCCTTCCAACGAGCCTCCTTTCAAAGGAAGCCAGCAGGTCAGGGAAACAGGAGGGAAGAGAATCCAAGACCCCCAACTCACTTGTCACCACCACCACCTCAGGCCACCTTCCAGAGCCAAGGGTAATAGCCAGGGCTCACTGCACAGCTCTGAGCTCCCCAAGCTACCACCCGTCCTGCCCTCCTTGGTTTTCCTCCGGCAGAGACCTCCACCTTCCAGAGACAAAGCCTACCAGCCGCAAACTCGGCTCGGACCAGGCACCTAAGCGCTTGGACCAGGGCTACTCCTCAGCCCACCTCTCCGGCCGATCTCCCCACTCCGACGTTCTGCAAGCTTCTCCCCAGCACTCCACGCGCCCTTCCTGCTCTCCGCGCGCCCCTTCTGCACCGCATTCTCCCACCCCGCGGACAGCGACCGGGTCTCCCCAACCTCATGGACCCCAACACCCCTTCTCTCCAACCACCCACTCCCCCTACCTGGGCTCACCGCAGCCTCGACTCCAGGCCCCGGGCCACACCCCCCGCGCCGGCCCCTCCAGCCCGGTGCGCGGTCGTACCGCATCCCCGCTGCCCTCCGGCCCCGCGCCCCGGCTGCCCCCGCCTTGCCTCGCCTCACCTCAGCGCTCAGCGCTCGGCGCTCGGCGCCCGCCCCGGTGGCCCCGTCCTGCCCATGCTGGGGGCTGGGGCGGGGGGCGCTCGGCTCAGCTCCCCGCGGGCTCCCGCCCCCCCCAGCTGCGGCCCCGCTCCCCCCCGGGCCTCGGCCCGCTACTTTGTGTCAGTTTCGGCCACAGCGGGGCGGAAGTGACGACGGTGGCAGTGGAGGGCGGGGGGCGGGAGGGGGTTTTGGGGAGGGCCCAGGGGCAGGGGGAGGGAGCGTCGCCATCTTTGTGCGGGGCGGAGGGAGGGTCTTAACCCTGCCGAGGCTTTGCGGGGCCAGGCCCGGCTCCCCACCCCCATCCATCTCGCTTTTGAAAACAAACACACCAGCAATCTCGGAGGCCAGAGAGCTCTGAGATTTTGTTTTAATCTGGAAGAAAGGGAACAAGAAAACGCTGCCTTCCTGCACAAAGAGCATCTTCTGGGAGGAGGGGCGTGATGGCCGGGGAAGCGGTGAAGGAGAATTTTCCTCGGCGCTAGTTTCCCCTTAGCCCCGGACTCCTACCCCTGGAACCGTACGCCACTGCCTTCTTTCCTCGCCCTGGCTCATCTCAAGATATTTCGCCCACTCCTTGACTGATACAGCCCCGGACTGGCTGTTGTGCCTCAGTTTCTCCGCCTTGTTCTCCCTGTCTCCGCCGAGCTGGACACCACCCTCTCTTTAGGTCCCCCACCACGCCCCCTGGGTGGAGGCAGCTTTTCCCATCTCTTAACAGTCTGCGGGCGGCGGAGTGTAGAGGAGGCGCCCCTGGAAGGGCAAAGGCAGAAAGCGCTGAGATTGCAAGAACTGGAAGTCAGGCAGTGGGGAACCAAGCTTTGGAGGGAAGACCCCAGAGTCGAGCCCTCCACTGTATGGTCGGCCAGCCCCGCCACTTTGCAGATTTTCGCAGCCTTCACAAGCCAACAGCCAGTGTGCGCACCCTCTGGCGGCTACTCTGAGCAACTGCGTTCCTAGAGGTCCTGAGGGTCAGAAGCCGGGCTTGGAGAAGAAGGGGGGAGCCGATCTCACCCTCCAGTTCTCTACCGTCTAAGCAATACTTCCCAGGTTAGAAGGAAAGAGTGGATAAACAGATAAGCTTCCTAGGGTCTGGTGTAGTGATAAAGAGAAAGAATCTCTAGCTTGCAATCAGACGGGGTCGTGGCTGTCCTAGGTTCATGAGTGAGGTGAGGGCTGTCATAATCACAGCTTACACTCCAGCGTCTGAACTGAGACAGGAGTTTTCGAGTCTGAAGCTTTGTTCTGAGCAGACGCGAGATCTTGAGCTGGCTGTTCTTCAGGGTGATGCAGAGCCACCATCAGTTGGTATGTGGCTGTGCCAAGGGTGGCCCCCACCAGAGGGGCCACCACAGGCACCCACCACCAGCCATTACCAGCACTGCAAAAGAAAGATAAATATGGAGATATCAGGGGTTTCTCCCTTAGCCATTCCTCTGGAGGCAGTAACAAAGGAGCTCCCTAAAATAGTTCCTGGAGTGACAGATACCAGGAAAACTATGTCTTCACACCAATGCATAGAACTTAAAGAGTGGAGGGAACCCCAGCAGAAGAGCTTGGTCCAGCCACTAGCCTTAGGAAGTTATCTGAATGTACCCATTTTGCTAATGAAGCCCAAAGAAGTAACGTAATGTGTCCAAGAAGACAACACCCAATTCTTACTGTTTCAGTGAAAGGAGGGGAGGGAGCTAGAGAAGAAGGAGCATGTGGCTTGGAGAAGGAACACTGTGCTAAGAGGTTAAGAGAACTTTTTTAAGAGGAGAGAGGTGGGGATCAAGGGACAGGGCCATTTTCAGAGGGATCATACCAGGAAAAGCTGTCTCCCACCTGAAAACTTCAGGGCCCCAGCCAGCCAGGTAGGTGAAGAGCCGTGGACCCAGGTCCCGGGCAGGGTTGAGTGGGAACCCACAGTTGACACCCATGGATAGTCCAATGGTCAAGATCAGCAGTCCCACCACTACAGGCTCCAGACCCGCAGGCACTCCCTTGTTCCGTCTGTCCAGGATGGCTAAGAGCCCCAAAATCAGCATCCCAGTACCTAGAACCTTGGAGTTGACAAAGGTAGAGAAAGGAGTCTCCATCAGCTGCCATATGCTCCATCTGCCTTCTCTCACCAAACATTCCTCATCACCATCTCCATGTCATCTGACTTTAGCCAACACAAGCAGCTAGGGACTGGGTTGGGTGCCAAGGTAGAACCAATTCCATGTTCCACCCAAAATCTGAACAGTAGGCTGAAGTCCCAAGGGAAAAGGCAAAGATTGGGACTCTCCCAGGTGTTCCACTTATACCTACCTGATCCAGGAAGCCATTGTTCAGGGACAGATAAGGGGCAGGATAGGTGGCAAAGATAGAGGCTGTCTCTTTGGGGCCAGTCACTGTCAGGTTCCCACCTGTGTAGTTCTGTAAGGCATCTTCAGGAGAGGGGAGAGGACACCCAGGGTTTCCATCTTTATTCATCCAAAACCATTTTGAGGCACCGCCGCCCACACACTTGTGCCCCAACACTGTTCTCTCTGTTACCATAGTATAGAAGATAGGTGACTCCTGAGGCACAGAAAGCAGACAGCAGCTGTACAAAGCAGTAAATAGGGAGCTTGGCCCAGGGGAAGCGACCCAGGAGGCACATGGCCAGGGAGAAGGCTGGATTCAGGTGGGCTCCTTGAAAGATCAAGGAAAGAAAACCAGCATCTACTAAGTATCACTGCCAGACACCATCACCAGGCGATACCATTACTCCTTCCTACAACATTTAATAAGACACATAGTATTATTTTCACCATATAGCTTAAGGAATTAAGGCTTAGAAAGTTTAACTGACTTCTCAAGGCCCCATAATAAAGCCAAGATTCAAACCCGCAAATCATTTTGTTTCAAGGATCTGGCCAGGTGCATTAATTCATTGTGTATCATTGTGCAGGTGAGGTCCTGAACTGAGATGAGTGAGCTCCAGAGGTTTCAGGTGTGAGGCACAAAATGCTAGCACTTACCTGTGACACCCTGCTATAGATTTCTGCCTAGATGAGCCAAGGTTTATTGTGAGGAAGGTAATGGAGAGTTACAGGAAGGGGAGGGGCTGGGTGAGGCCAAAGGCATATCTCAGTCCAGGGCACTGGTCAAGCTCATGTAGATAATATCCATGAGTCACTAAAATGTCAGGCTTTTCACCATCACCAGATACCCACTTACATGTACATCCCACCCTTCCGATGACCAGACTCCACCTTTCTCACCTGAGACATTGCCAGCCACGTAGATGGCTATCGTAACAGCCAGAGAGCCAGCCAGAAACATGGTAAAGAAGTTGCCTCTGGTTTCTCCACTGGTAACAGCTTGAGCTACAGCCCCTTGGGTGAGCAGCTGCAGGAAGAGGGGAGATGAAGAATAGAGACTGTAGGAGACTAATGAGAGGAGCAGTAAAGAGAGATGAATAAGACTGAGGGACCAGCAAGGAAAGACAAAACCAGAAAGAGGAAAGGGAAAAGGAAATGGGAGAAGTGGAGGAGGAAGAAGAAAGAGAAGGAAGGTGGGAGATGAATGTAATCCTAGCTATTCAGGAGAAAGAGATCAGGAGGATCAAGGTTCAAAGCCAGCCTGGCAAATAGTTCATGAGACCCTATCTCAAAAACATACAACACACACACAAAAGGGCAGGTAAAGTGGCTCAAGTGGTAGAGCACCTACCTAGCAAGCATGAGGCCTTTAGTTCAAAACCCAGTACCACCAAAACAAGAAAAGACAGTAGTCAAAAAGAGGAAGTAGGAGAGGAAAGGAAGAAAGTAAAAAGGAGGGATAAAAAAGAAGAGTTGAAAGGAAGTGGAACACCAAAAAGAAGAAATAAGGATACCAGGAAAATCCAGAGACTGGTCAACCTCCCTTCTATCCGCCCATCAATTACCCGGCCTACCATCAGCACGAAGACACCCAGAAACTCTGCCAGGCACTGTCGGATCAGGAGGTTGTGGATCTGGAGTTGTCCCCTGATTTTGATCAGGAGCTGAGTACAGGACATGGTGGAGACACTGTATCGCTGTTCACTTCTCCCTCTATCTGCATAGGACACAGCTACCACACAGCTACTGCCTGCCAGAGGAGAAGATAAGAAAGAGACTTTAAAACCAATTAACTTATCTCTAGACCGCAGCTACTATCTGTACATGTGTGTAAGCTAGAGAGCATAGCTTTCTGTGCATGTGTGGAAGCTAGAATGGGAGTTTGCCCAGACTCGGTCTCTTCTGTCCCTTTTCCCCATCCCTCACAGATCTAGTCTCTAGCTATGCTGATGGTTTGCAGTAAGTGCCCTCCTACATATACATTAGTTCTCTTGGTCCTGAAGACAACAGTATAAAGTAGTAATACAATTCCATTCTACAGCTAAGGATACTGAGCTCTTGAATTCCCCCAAGCTCACACGGTTAGTTAGTGGCTGAGTGAATTCAAATCCAGGTCTTCTAACTCCATCTGGTATTCCACAATACCTCTCATCTGTAACAGAAGCCATTCTCTGAGCTATTTTGTTCCTTGAAGAACTGAACAGGCATCAGGAGACACTGAGGTGAAGACTATATATAGACCATGGGAATGAATCCTACATGGTGAACGCTTGTACTTTCTTCATGCAGAGCCTCACCTTGGTTAGAGAATGCTGAAACAGTGTTTCTCCTGTATGACTTGAAATAAGGACTTCACACCCATACTGACCCCATCTGCCCTTCTCAGGTGATGCATGTCACTCTTATACTGCATGGCACATGGGCAGATCCTATTTCTTGATTCCTCAATCTTCCAATTAGATTCATTCAAACAATGAGTCAACTTCTAGGCACTGGAGATACTGTTGTAAACAAAACAGTCTCTGCTCTCTTAGAACTTATGTTCTAATAGATGGAAAAAGATAATGTACAAAATGTTAAATACTGTATACAGTTTATGAGGTTCTTAAAGCCTGGCACCACAATTTATGTAGCACAGTCCTGGCTCATCAGTGTACATTAATACTTCTTTGCTGGGTTTAACAGATATTGTAGTGCCTCACCCAGATCTCTCTTCAGAGCCAACACATCCATTCCCCAGCTACTAGAAATATCAGCTGATGCTACCACACAGCTGCCTTCCTCATTTGGCAATGGCCGCCAAGGCAGGAAATTACCTCAGCCAAGGTTACATGCCTCCTCTGGAACCCATGAACAGTGATTGATTGATGCAGCCATTCCTCTTTGCCTCAGTTTGGGACAACTCTGAAGGGCCACTCTAGCTCCAGAGTTCCCCATAGGATCAGTTTTTGTTTTGTTTTGTTTTATTTTTGTTTTTGTTTTGTAGAACCAAGATTTGAACTCAGGGTTTCATGCTTATAAAGCAGGTACTCTACTGCTTGAGTCATATTTCCAGCCCAGGATTAGCTTTTGTTATAACTTCAGTACATGTCAGTTTTTAAAATTTCTTCTTCCTTCCTTCCTTCCTTCCTTCCTCCCCTCCTCCCTTTCTCCCTCGCTTCCTTCCTTTCTTTTGGCAGTACTGGAGCCTCACACTCAGAGCCTCACACTCATTAGGCAGCCATTTACCACTTGAGCTATGCCCCAGCCCTGTGATTCAGTTTCTGTCCATGCCTAATATTGCTTTCCTCACTTCCTTATATGTGCATCTCTCAAAGCACTCCTCAGTAAGCATATTCACATATCTCTCTATCCTAGTCTTTTCCCAGAGAACCCAATTTAGGATGGTTGGTGTCAGAAGGGGTCTCTAGTGAGCATTTTCTAAACTGCAACTTGCATGATAAAATATTTGTCTCCTAGCTGACAATGAGGACCCTGTCATGGTGTTATGTAGAGTATAAATAATCTCTAACATGCTATGGTGATGCAATTATGAAAAATTTTAGCAGAAGCTCAGTGGTACATTGCATTCTTAGCATTTTCAAGACCTTAGGTTCAACCCTCAGCACTCTCCCCCAAAAAACTATTAGAGGTGATAAATCGGAAAGGGTTACTAGTGGAAAGAAAACAAACTGGTATAAATCTATTAGAGGTGTGCACTTGAGAGGTATGAGGGAAATGAAAAGTTTCATAGAACTTTCCACTAATCAAGGCAGACTATGAAAGCCATTAGGCCTCCTTGACATCATATAAGAAAACTAATATTTGGATCCAGTGAGCATTAGTGTGTAGGACCAGCTCGAGTCTTAATTGTATGAGGAGCAGAGCTTCAGAGAAGGTTGAATTCTTAACCCCAGTAAATCTATACCAAGATTAGGACACAGAAAGAAATATGGTTGGATCTTGAGATGGGATAGGGACATCTAGGTAAATACAACTGAGAATTTTGAGTCCCCAAAGTCCTCTGAACCTCTGGCCTATTGAATTGGCTCACTCTCTGCTTTACAAAAAGATCATGCAAAGGCTTCAAATGAGGTAAGTGCTTTATAAGACAATACTCATGTTCTTCAGGTTACATCTTCACTTCTGGTAACAACACTAATATCAAGGATCAAATTCAAGCAAACAACCAAAAAGGATGTTCTGGCCTACTAAGAAAAAAGGGGGAATAGTTGGTGAAGGACTGTCAGGATCTAGCCAATATGTACCAGTAGAACCTTAGTAAAGTTATACATAGAACTGCATATTGAGAATGCTCAAAGAAGGTAGAACATAAAATTAGATAGGGAAGAATTAATTCATATTAATCCTATGACATAGGATTTAACATCCTGGCAAGATCCCCGGGATACAGGATGGATACACTAAGTTGGTTTTAGGAAGCTTGGGAAAAGGATGGTCCACATTAAGAAAAGTAAAAATGCCAGAACTATTTATTCACATTGGTGACCATTATTGAGAAAAGGGGAATATTCAGTCAGACCTTTTGAGCGTGTTTGGACAAAGGATCTGAGTTCACACTGAGCTCTGACAATACAATTTACACCATGGCCCCTTGTTAGAGTAGGAGTGATAGGGCCCAGGTAGTAAATGGGGTACTGCCTCAGGAATTATTCATAGTATATTCCTTGAGACCATGTATCCGCCCAGTTGTCATTTCCCCAATATCCCAAAACACAATTGAAATGGATATCCTTTGATATCAACTTGAAATTGATATCCCATATGAAAACTCATGTTATTTTTTTGACTCGTGGGGTAAATGAATAAAACCAATGAGAAATCTGAAACTGCCCCACACCAAGATAACAAATAAAACCAATACTACATCCTGGGGAAATGGAAGACATTAGAGTCACTCTCAAAGAATTAAAGAATTCAGAGGAGATGACTCCTATAACACCACTAGTTTGGCTCCTGTAAAAATTGATTAGATCATGGCAAATGGCAATGATCAGCCATAAACTTAACCAAATAGTAACCCTAATTGCAACTGTTATGTCCCATATTGTAACTTTGTAAAACAGTTTAATATAGTCTCTGGCTGGTGAAGTGCAGCTATTAATTTGGTGAATAGACCAGAAAAGAGGATCATAAGTAGTTTGTATGCACGTAGGAAGGACAGAAATATACATTTATGGGCTTGTCCCAGGACTGACTTTCTGGCCCTGTCTCTCTCTCTCTCTCTCTCTCTCTCTCTCTCTCTCTCTCTCTCTGTCTCTCTCTCTCTCTCTCTCTCTCTCCCTCCCTCCCTCCCTCTCTCCCTCCCTTCCTTCTTTCTTTCTTCCTTTTTTTTTTTTTTTGGCAGTTCTAGGAGTTTGAACTCAGGGCCTTGCATTTGAACCATGCCCCCAGTCCTTTTGCTTTTAGTTTGTTTTTCAGATAGGACCTCAAATTTTTGACAGGGCTATCCTCAAACTGTGATCTTCCTATCTCTGCTACTCATGCAGCTGGGTCTACAGATGTGTGCCACCACACCCAGCTTGTTTTTTGAGATAGAGTCTCACTAACTTTTTCCTCTTGGCATCTAACCACAATCCTTCTATCTCTGCCTCCCCAGTAGCTGAGATTCCAGGCATGCATTATTTAGACATTTTGAAGAGCATCACATTGGTCCACTACGTATGTGACATCATGTTAATCAGACTGGAGGAGCAAGAAGTGGCAAATGTATTGGAAGCCTTGGAAAGATACATGTATTCAGAAAGCGAAAAATAAAACTCATAAAGATGAAAGATGGCTGGGCTGGGGATGTAACTCAGTGGTTTAGTGTTTGCCTCCCATGCATGAGGTCCTGCGTTTTATCCCTAGTACCACAAAAAAAAAAAAAAAAAAAAAAAAGATTAAAGCGGCCTAGAGGAGTGGCTGAAGCAGTAGAGCACCTGCCTAGCAAGTGTGAGGCCCTGAGTTCAAACCCCAGTGCCACCAAACAAAAAAAAAAAAAAAGAAAGAAAGATTAAAGAAACTGCTAAATTGGTGACACTTTTAGAGGACCAGTGGAGTAAAACATGCTACAATATCCTCCTCAAAGTTGAGCACAGATTATTGCATCTCAAACCTGCTACCACTAAGAAAGAAATACAATACCAATATTCTTATGATTCTGGAGCAATATATTTCAGACTTGGGAATATACCTCTTACTAGTTCACCAGCTAACACTGAAAACTGTCAACTTTGAGTGGGGTGGAAAGCATAAAAATCTTCTGAGTCATATGATCCAGCAGACCCTAGGAGACTAGATTATCTGTGATAGGAAAAGATGCTGTGTGTGCTTCAGAGAGCCCTAATAGAATCATAATGCAGAACCCTATGGTTCTGGAGCAAATCCATGCCATCTGAACAGACAAATACACACCATGTGAAAAGAGGCTCTTACAGTGCTATACAGAGCTTCTAACTATAGGACATCAAGTGACCAAGTAGCCAGAACTGCCCATCATAAGCTGGACTCTGTCAGATCTTCCATGGCATCAAGAAGGGTAGACCCAGTAAGAATACACTGTGCTATGTGCCAGTGGCTCACGCCTATAATCCTAGCTACTCAGGAGGCAGAGATCAGGAGGATCGAAGATGGAAGCCAGCCCAGGCAAATATTTTTGTAAGACCATATCTTGAAAAAAACCCTTCACAAAAAAAGGGCTGGTAGAGTGGCTCAAGGTGAAGGTCAAGTTCAAACCCTAGTACCACAAAAAAAAAAATACATTGTAAGATAAAGTAGAATCTTTGGGACAGGCATAAACAGGGTCAGAGGGCACAAGCAAGCTTCAAAGCAAATGGTCCAAAGTTCCATGTCATTCACCTGTGTGGCATGTGCATCCCTCCCTCATCTCACATCTATTGCCCTTTACTAAGAGGGATCCCTTACAGGCAGCTGAGAGAAGGAACAAGACACCTTCATTCATGTATGGATTGGCATGGTATCTGGGTGAGAGCTAAAATTAGAAGGCTGCTGCACAGCACCTCCACTCAGAAATAGTTCTAAAACACAGAGGTGAGATGAACTCCTCCCTGAAGACAAGAGTGTTTTTTGTGTGCAAAGAGAAGTACCCCGAGGATGAGAACCTATTCTGTCACATTGGCGGTGGAAAGGGGCCTCATTGGTCGGTCAGGAGCTTGGAAAAAGAGTGGAAGGTCTGGGACAAAACGTTCCAGGATAAAATGTGGATGGACCTATGGGAATGCTGAAGGTCTTCGTATGTCACATTAATTTCCAGCAGAGCATCCGTCACAAAGGAGGCAAGGAACGGACAGAACGACTTAGCCTCTGTCCATTACAGGCAACCTCAGTTCTGAACAATGGGTGCAATGAAGGGTGTAACTGGTGGTAGGGATGGAGGTTTTGGATGCACCCCACAGCATGGGCCCCTACTCACCAAGGCTGAACTAGCTACTGCTGCTGTCGCTGTCTAACCTGTCAGAAACAACAGCAATGCTAAGTCCTGATATGATGCTTTCCATGACAACAAGCAGCCATGTGAGTTGATTACCCTAGACTCCACCACCCTTGACTGAAATTGACACAGCCATTCCTTGGTATCCGTGGGGGACTGGTTCCAAGACCCACTCTTAATACAATTCATGAATTCTCCAGTCTCTTGTATAAAATGGCATAGAAATTGTGTAAAACCTCCATACATCCTCCTCTACACTTGAGGCATCTCTAAATTAAAATACCTAATACAGGAGCTGGTGAAGTGGCTCAAGTAGTAAAGTGCTTACTTAGCAACCCTGAGGCTCTGAGTTCAAACCCCAGTACCACAAAAAAAAAAGATACCTAATACAATATAAATGCTATGTAAATAGTCGTTATATTATTTAGGAAATAATGACAAGGAAAAAAGTCTGGTTTGATACATATATATAATTTTTTGCAATGCTAGGAACTGAATCCAGGGCCTCAAACATGATAGGCAAGCGCTTATCTTCAAGCTACATCTCCAGTCATTTATGTATACTTACATTTTTTTCAGAGCTAGATATTGAACCCAGGGCTTGGCACATACTAAGCAAATGTTCTGCCATTGAGCTACACCTCCACAGCCTCATTTTTAAGATCTAAGTTTCATTGAATTCAAAGATGGAGAACCTGTAGATACAGAGGCCTGAGTGTATAGGACTGCCTTTCCTGCCTATAGAGTCTCAACTAGTATCACTCCCCAGGGACTTACAGATTACTTGATCCATTAACACCAGGTCTGCATTATGTCACTTTATACTGAGGGGTCTACAGTATAGCAGAGGAAGTGTAAAGCTGGTGGAGAGTCTCAAGCAGTAAGAGTGCCTGTCTTGCAAGCATGAGGCCCTGAGTTCAAACCCCAGTACCACCAAAAATAAACTTTCCTTTAAAAAAAAAAAAAAGCCAGGTGCTACTGTCTCACACCTGTAATCCTAGATTCACAGGAGTCAGAAATCAGAAGGATCATGGTTCAAAGCCAGCCTGGGCAAATAGTTTTGAGACCCTATAAAAAATAGGGCTAGTGGAGTGGCTCAAGGTGAAGGCCCTGAGTTCAAGCTCCAGTACCACAAAAAAAAAAAATCCAACACAAAACAGGGCTGTTGGAGTGGCTGAAATGGTAGAGTGCCTGCCTAGCAAGCATGAGGTCCAGAGTTCAAACCCCAATACTCTCCACCAAAAAAAAAATCCATGTAGCTTCAAGATGATACCCCAGGAAGATGGGCCATCATCCTCCAGAACTTGATATATGTTTTCTAAATCAAAGGCCATAATATGATGCTGTGTCCCCAACAGATAGATTACTGGAAATTGGGAAGTAAATTACATGTATCTGAGATAGCTATTCAAATAGTCTCTTTATCTTCATGTCTTCACTCACAGTAAACCACTTGGAGAATTTGTGGTGTGTGTGTGTGTGTGTGTGTGTGTGTGTGTGTGTGTGAGAGAGAGAGAGAGAGAGAGAGAGAGAGAGAGAGACTAGGAATTGAACTCAGGGACTTACTCTTGCTAATCAAGTGCTGTACCACTTGAGCCTTACCCCAGTCCATTTGCATTTAGTTTGTTTGTCAGATAAGGCCTCACACTTTTGCCCCAGTTTGGCCTCTGTGGGGAGCCAACAGGTGTATTGAATAAGCTGCGTGTTTGAGTTTGGCACAGCCCAAACTCAAGTAGAGTTATGCCCAGTAATTGCAGGCTTGATTGGCACAGCCTCAGCTGCAGAAGTGGGCAAGATGCAGTACTGTTCCCAAGGATCACGGTGTCACGCCCCCTCCCCTGAGAATCGCCTCTCCACCTCGTGTTGCTCTGGTATATAATAAACTCACTGGAGGTGGGGAGTGCTGGTGTATCTCCATCTGAGCGCCCAGCCTACCTGGACCCAGCTTTAAGCATGTTTTGTTTGCTGTCTGTTGTCTTTCCTACATCTCCTGTCACCCTCAGGTTTCTAGGACAAGCTCGTGTTGAACGCAAGAGGCCTCAGACCGAAATCCTCCTACCTTCACCTTCCAAGTAGCTGGGATTACATGCATTTAACACCATGCCCAGATACTTACAAAATTAGATTTTGAGAGTCTACAGGTCCTGGAAAGTGGAGATGTAATGTTTCTCCCAGGGGTCACGATTAAGAATCCCTTTTGAACTTTGGGGTCCTTTAGCAAGCGATAAACAGGCAACAAAAGGACACATCATACTGGCAAGAGCCTTTGGCTATGGTGGAGAATTCAAGATGTGACTACACATGGTAGGCAGGAAGAATACTTTGGCATTCAGGGTATCTTTTGTTGCTGCAATATTTGGTTTAACAGTACATAGAAATTTTAGCAGCCACAGACCTTGGTTACCATACCAAGGGCGCTCTCACGGGTTAGGGTCTGGGTCATCTCACTAACTGGCTGCCTAAACCAGCAGAGGTGCTAGCCAAGGTAAGGAAAATCGAGAATTAGTGGTACAGGAGGGGGATAATGAGAATGTTAGAGCCTCCAAAACCAATTGTAGCAGTAAAGGATGTAGACTTTCCCATTAGCCCTTCTGTTAAATTTCCCTCCCAACAAAAACCCAATCAGAATCACAAAAAGTATCTCCCCAACAGGGCAAACTAACCATAAGAAGACTGGATCTGGGAGTGCAAGTAATGAAGTGCAGTACACCACAGTGCCTCACCTAGATCCCTTCTGTAGGGTTACCAGTCTATCCCCAGCTGCTAAGAATACCAGCATAAGATGGCTCACAGTTGCTTCTGTCCCTGGATATTACCTTAGCTACGGGGAGCTGTCTCGCCCATTCTTAGCTGGTTTCCTGATTGACTGGTGCAGGGACACAAAGTCCTGACCTCTTTGCCTTTATTGGGATGCTTGAAGAATTATCTCCATTGCAGGGTGCCCTGTAGAACCCTAAGATCAATTGAGGCCTCAATCACATTGTATGTTAGCTACTCCCTCTGGCCAATTTTACCTTCTTAGTTTTTTTTTGTTGTTATTGTTTTTTAACTTTTGGTGGTACTGGGGCTTGAACTCTGGGCCTTATACTTTTGAGGTAGGTGCTCTACCACTTGAGCCAATGCTGGCAGCCCTTTTGCATCTTGAGGTGAAACATTAGATTACTGATTTTTTTTCTCCTTTTATTGTATTGTTTTTACATTTACTTACATGTGTATACATTGTTTGTGCCACCTCCCCTCTCACCCCACAATTACTGATTTTCTCTCTCTCTCTCTTTCTCTCTCTCTCTCTCTCTCTCTCTCTCTTTCTCATTTCTCTGTGTGATCCAAGCTGGACTAGAACTTGCCCCATAGGTAAGGCTGGCTTCCAACTCACTCTATAGTCCAGGCTGGCCTGGAACTCAAATCCTGTAGCCACAGTGATTATAGGCATGTGCCACCACCCTGGGCTCTCTTCCTTTCTAATGTATTTAAACTATAAATTCCCTTCTAAATAATTCTTTAGCTTCATCTCATACATTTTGATAATGATGTTTCATTTTCATTGAAGATATTTTCTAATTTCCTTTATGATTTCTTCTTTGACTAATGTGGTTATTTAGAAGGATATTGTTTAAGTCCTAAATAGTTAACGATTTCTCTCTGTCATTAATTTATAATTTAATTCTATATGATCAGAAATATACATTGTATCTTCACAACACTTTTAATTTATTGGTAATTATTTTATGGCCTATCCTTGATAATGTTCCATATGAACTTAAAATTATATATGCTGCTCTTTTTGAATGTTCTATGTATGTTAGAGCAAGTTGTTTGGTAGTATTGTTCAAATGTGTGGAGTTATTCCATCAGTAGTGAGGGAGTAAACACCTCCAATTAAATAGTTGTCTTCTCTTTTGCAACTCAATTTTTGCTTCATGTATTTTTTTTTGCCAGTACTGAGGTTTGAACTCAGAACCTCACATTTGCTAAGCAGACATTCTGCCACTTGAACCACTCCACCAATCCTTTTTTGTGTGTATGTTGGGTATTTTCAAGCTAGGGTCTCACAAACTATTTACCTGGACTGGTTTTGAACCTCAATCCTCCTGAGCTCTGCCTCCTGAGTAGCTAGGATAACAAGCATGAGCCATCAATACCCAGCTTGCTTTGTGTATGTTAGAACTCTCAAATATAATTTTTATATCTTCCTGAGACATTGAAATTTTGACCGTTATAAAGTCTCATTGTCTCTTACCTTCCTTCTTTTCTTTTTTCCTTTCTTGTAAAAAATTCTATTTCACCAGATAATATAGCCATTCCATCTTATGTTTGCTATTTGCATGGTATTTTTTATCCTCTTACTTTCAGTCTGTGAGACACAGTCTCACTACGTAGCAGGGCTGGCTTAAACTTGTGATTCTCCTGCCTCAGCCTCCTCAGTGCTGGGATTACAAGTGTGCACCTATAATCCCAGATTGGATCTCACTTTTTATTCTGGCCAATGATCTCTGCCTGTTGATTGGAGTTTAATCTTCACATGTAAAGTAATTACTGATGTTTGCATTGTCTTCTATTTTGATTTTTTTTAAATGTGCCTCATGACTTCTTCTTTCCCCTGATCCTCCTTTTCTCTGTCCTTGACCAACTTTGCTCCAAAATAGCTCCATTTCCTCTCCCTCCTTTGTAGCAATATTGTGAAACATATTATCTCTTTGTGAAACTCATTATACTTACATATTTTTTGGTGGGACTGGGGTTTGAACTCAGGGCTTAGCTCTTGCAAAGCAGGCACTGTACTGCTTGAACCACACTCCATTTACGTATGTTTTAAACTAAAAAATACAGTGTTATAATTGCTACTTTAATAGTCATGTTTTTAATAGACAATGAGAATTTATTTTGGTTACTAAGTGATCAGTATTACTTTTGGTCACTGTAATATTTAAAAATACAAACATCAAGTCTGAAAGCATTGAAACCTATCTCCAAGAACTGCATCCTGGCATGTGTTTGCTGCCAGGCAGAACTGAGAGCCAAGAGTCCAGACCTTCTGAATCACCTGATTTTCACAGACTCTCCTTCCCCCATAGGGAGGTAAACTGCTGAGTGAGGTCTGAAAATATTGAGACTAGAGGCAGAGTGCTTAGGTCCCTTAGTTCTCCCTCTGCCAGTGCAGACCTCAGTGCTCTATTTGCTCCTCCCACCCTCTGAAGCACTCAGGGGTCAAGCTTGGATGTTTGCTAGGGCTTGTGGAAAAAGTGGGAATTGTCTGACCTACAAGCTATAAAGCTCCCTAGATCAGCAGCAGTTCCCAGTTCACAGAGCAGGGAAGCTTGTATAGTAAAATCAGCCCAGAGGTACACAACCAACCCTTTTACAAGAGAGTCCAGTAGTTTTCCTTGATCTGGGGAATCAAACCTGGTACCTTAAGCATGTAGGTGAATGCTCAGCTACTGAGCCATACCCCAGTCCACTAGTGTGGACTCAACCCTGCCACTACACTGTCTGTCTGGACATTTAAATCCTTCAACTGAAAGACTGCAGTGAGCTTCATATACATATATGAAATAGAATAAGAAACCTCTTGCAATTGCTATAAGTGGGGTAGGGAGGGGATGGGGAAGATAGTAAAGGCAATCTAACTAATGTGCAATGTAAAGCTATTTGGAAAATTGTCACAATAAATCTCTCCCATACAATGAATATATGCTAATAATAATGAAAAAAAAAAACAACTTCCAACCAATAACTTGATCTCAAATGCACAAATTCCAATGCAGAAACACAAAAAATATGGAAAATAAGGCAACATGACTCCTCCAAAACTCAACAACTCCATAGTGATAGTGAAGTGGATGAAATCTCAAAGAAGTCAAAAAATGATTAACAACAAATTCCAAGAAAACTAAAACAGATAATGCAGGACTTGAAAGAGGATTTAAAGGACTGGAGGCATGACTCAAGTGGTAGACCACTTGCCTAAAAAGCCCAAGGCTCCAAGTTCAATCACCACCACTGATAAGAGTGTAATTTAATATAGATATAGAAATTCTGGGGTGAGGGGGGAACAAATTGAAATTCTGGAAAGGAAAAGTTCAAAAAGCAAAATAAAAATCAAGTTGAAAGCCTCTCAGGTAAATTAAATGAAACTGAAGACAGAATATCAGGGCTTGAAGACAAGGTAGATGTATTAGATCATTCAGATGAAGATTTTAAAAAGTACGAACAGAACATGCAAGACCTCTGGGGCACCACTAAAAGACCAAACCTAGGGCTAGGAGCCTGGCTCAAGTGGTAGAGGCTTGCCTCACAAGTGTGAGGCCCTGAATTCAAACCCCAATACCTATGAAAAAAACAGTCTACAAATCCTAGGCATAGAAGAAGAAGAGGTGCAAGCAAAAGGCATAAAAAATATATTCAATAAAGCAATACCAGAAAACTTCACAAATATTAAGAAAGAGATGGTCATTCAGGGGCTGGGGGCATGGCTCAAGTGATCAAGTTCCTACGTGGTACAAGACCCTGAGTTCAAACCCCAGTACCAGCTGGCAGAGTGGCTCAAGTGGTAGAGCCACCCACCTAGCAATTGTGAGACCTGGGTTTAAGCACAAGTGCTGCAAATTAATTAATTAATTATTTAATTTAATTTAATTTAATTAACCCTCATATGAGAGAGAGAGACAGAGCAACTCAGGTACAGGAGGTTTTAAGACTCCAAACAGACAAGATCAGAAAAGAACCTCTCCAAGGTTCTTCAGGCATCTGGAATGAGGAAAGAATATTGAAAGCTGTAAGAGAGAAATGCCAAGTCACCCCATTAGGGCAAACCCATCAGAATAACAGGAGATTTCTCAACAGAAACTTTAAAAGCAAGGAGGGCATGGGATGATGTATTTCAAGCCCTGAAAGAAAATAACTGCCAACCTACATTACCGTACTAGTAAAGCTATCCTTCATAATTGAAAGAGAAATAAAAACCTTCCATGGCAAACAAAAACCAAAGTAATTCATGACCACTAAACCAGCACTGCAGAAGATGCTTAAAGGAATCCTACACACAGAAGAGGACGTTAAATGCAACCATAAAATACAGGGAAGATTAATCTCACTAGATAAGTAGATAAGCAAATGAGCAGTTGGGAAGAATCAATACTACAAAAACAACAAAATGGCAGAAATTACTGCATACCATTCAATAATAATTCTGAATGTTACTGCTCTCAGTTCTCCAATCAAAAGACACAGACTGCTAGATTGAATCGAGAAACAAGGCCCAACTGTTTCTTGCCTACAAGAAACACACTTCACTGGCCAAGACAAACATATAAGCTTAGAGTGAAAGGACGGAAAGGAATTTTCAAGCAAATAAATTAGGAAACTTCAGAGTTACGTGACACTATAGATCAGATGGACTTAACAGATACCTACAGAACGTTCCACCCAATAGCCATAGAATAC